GATTTTCATTCGTTTTTACTGCAATACTAGTTATGAGGCCTTAAAATAATTATTGTCATTACAATATTGTTGTGTGTGTCGTTGCTATAGCGTTTTTATTTTGTTTCATGCAATATATTTAAATGAAGTAGATTTAAATTGACTGATAGGATCACTAACAAATGTATGTCTTTAAGTGTGGTTCTAAAGATTTTATAATCAGATAACACTTGAATTACAAGTCTTATGAAGGACGCCCGATAATTCTACAGTCAGGATATCAGGATAAATTACGTATTTTATTAATTATGCGTTCTTCTGATTTTTTAGTTGATAAATCTTTAATGTTTTGATAATTGAACATTGGATTAAATGTCCATTCGTTTTGTTACATTACTGTTGGTATTCTCAGGGGATAAAATGAAAAATGCCAAAATTTCAAAAGGCATGAAATGAAATAAATGCCAAAAATCACACACGCAATACCACATACAAAGTGTATAAACATTTAACTCAGAAACAGCATGATTTTTCATGAAATTTCATGATTTTTCCTTTATTTTTTTCACTTTCCGACAATGAATATAATATTTATATCAAATTCAAATATACATGTATGCATTCTTTTCAATGCAAATTGATCAACTGCGAATAAACTGGGTAGTCAGATAGTCAAGCTTTTTTTTTATACAAACATTTTACTATATGCATTGGTAAAATGTAGAAGAGAAACAAAAGCAGTAACAAATATCTTTTATTTATAGCATTTATTTCATTTAAACGTTGTTTTGAAGATTCTATCAACTTGTTATTTTTTTTTAAAGTGTTTCGCTGATTTGTAAAAGTCATCGGATAAATGTCACTGCCTATATACTTCTGTTTTTTTTTTAATTTACGATATTTTCACCAATATATTGCAAAAAACTGCCAGTCAGTACTGACTATGCATGTGGTCATTTTCTATAAGTTATTACTTAAATAAAAATTGTATCGAATCACGAAGGTTTTAGTACCCTTGAGTCTAAATAAATACACACACTATACCAGCTGTTTCTGAGTTAAATGTTTATACACTTTGTATGTGGTATTGCGTGTGTGATTTTTGGCTACATTCTTGCGTATTTGGAAAGCGAGACTGGCATTCATATTTATAATACAATATTTTTGAATTAAACAAACATAACATGGTAGCTCTTAGTATATGTATCATAAAAGACAAAGATTGAATTAGATCATTGATATAGAATTGTAAATGTGGTATGATTTCCCATTCAACAAATACTATAGCTATTACAAATGTAGCAATAATAGGTTTCCGCACACCAATGATTGATTATTTGATTAGTGTTTATCGCATTGCTCATTATCACTTTTGGTTATTTCGAGGTAATCAGCTAGCATGTAACGGATACGACAGGTATCAGATGTCTTTCACAAAACAGCAAAACACTTTCAATAAAACAGTGACCGGATAGAACCACTTTTATTCAGTGTTAAAACTGACAGTCCTAGTCAATTAAGATTCAAGACTCGAACTGACAACCTCAGTGTTGAAAGGCTAGTGATATAATAGCTTGATTACTTACACAAATGGTTACACAATGCCTCTAACAACAATGAGAACTACCTATATCGTAAAGTCAGCTGTAAATGGTATCGACATGAAGATCGTGAAACAAATTTAAAACGACAAATTTAACGGCGTAAGGCAAATTTAAGCAAAAACAAAATGGAAAAAATGAATCAACACCACAATCATTGAATAAAGGGTTTCTGAAATGAGAAAGACACATGTTGCGCAGTTATAAACGTGTGTGTAAGCTCTCTTGTCACCTTAACTGGGACAGTGGTCTAACAACACACCATATATGTAAGCACAAACCGTCAAAATCTGTTGCAAATGGCTTGTCGGAATTGGAAGAAAATATCCAACGTAAAAAATACAAACGACCCACCGATATTAGGAGTACTTGCAGTTATTGTACAACTGATACATATATCATGTATTCTCATATAAAACTAAATCAATAAAGTGAATACACTACCAATCGATTTTATGTAAATACGTCATCATCAGTCTCTAAAACAAATGTTTTTGTGCAAGGCTAACAGCATCAACAGGATATGAAATTAAGACTACTCATAACTGTTCATATATAGTAATCATCTTTTTTTAGTAATATTTAGATAATTTGCTTGCATTGAATTTGGTACTGTTCAGTTGCTTTTCCTTGTTGAAGAATATAGACAAAATTAGACTACTTTAAGGTAAACATTTAAATTGTAATTCCTTAATTGAATGCAAGCCAATTGTCTGAAATGTTCTTAATTACATTGGATAAATGGTTCATTCAAATCTGATTACAGATTAATTTTGATGCAACACGTATTTGTATAGGGCCTTACACTGTTATAAAAAAAGGAAATAATCGGATTCGTAACTTGATGAGCATAGAACGGGTGCCATATTTAAAAAGCAGCATATGTAAACCGTTCTGAAGCAATTGATTTCACCCCGTATTTTTTTAATTTTTTTACTGTTTGTACTTTCATGTCATGATATTGTCAGTTTTTGTTTTTCGATAAATAGTTTAATGTACTTTTGGTATCTTTCGCCTCTCTTTTACAGGGGCTGTGATAAAATGATTTAACGAGATCATGTTCTCAATAACAACATGCATGTACGATTCGGTTATCAATTGATCGAAATGTTGTAGGCATTCATATATACATGTACGTGTGACCCTATAATTGTAGACTTGTTCTTATACTGTATTGATTACGGCAAATTACTTTTGAATAATCATGGGATGAATAATTCAACAGAATATTGGTCTCCCGAACTCTCGTCATTATGAGAAAATGCGATTCCTCAAACCAACATTTGCAATAAATTTTAAGACTTAACATCGTTTTTTGCTTACTCTTATTCCTGACTTTGTTATAATTCAGAATATTACTAACAGTGTATCGGGATTTTTTTGCTTAAAACTGTTTCAGCATGGGTCCCTTTTCAAAAGTCTTTAAATTAGCTGTTACCTTCGTTTCGCAAGGTAATCTTGAATATGTTTGTTACGTTTATATGCTATAATAGACTCTTTGGTAAAAACTTCACTGCATTGTATGTCTCTTTGATAGTTCAAATGTTTTCATATGATTAATTTTAATAAAGTTTTTCACCTTTTGATTATATTTTGTAATATTGATTATATCTTGTAATAAGAGGAAGTGGGTATTTTTCTTGTTCTATTGGTCTTTTAATAATAACGACGATTTTCTGTTATATTGTATTTCTAATATGTTTTTGAAAACATTTGGCGACAAATTGAAGGACTAACGAATTCTGTCCCCTAGTTGTTTTAAGCTTACAATAAATTCAGAACATATATGCTAATGAGATATGAACGCATAAAATGTGCACACAACTCTGAGTTATCAATTTCAAATTTCCAATGTGTGTTTTTCAGTTTATTTCGGTTCATAGCAGTGTGTCTTTTTTTTTTAAATCTCAGTGTGTAATGTTCAATTCCGGTGTGCGTTATCGATTTATGTAAACTGAGTTCGTTTTTTATGAATTCCTAGTGTGTAATTTCAAGTTCTCAGTGTGTGTTTTTCCGTTTCTTTTATATCAGTGTGTCTATTTTGAAATTCTCAGTGTGTTTTTAGGTTTTGTCATCTCGTTGTGTTTTTTTAAATTCTCAGTGCGTAATTTTTTCGAAAAATAAATTTAACATATTTTTGATAAAAACGGCTTGCCATAACGCCAGAGGCTCCTGACTTTGGACAGACGCAAAAAATGCGACGGGGTTAAACATGTTTTTGAGATATCAAACCTCCCCCTGTACCTCTAGGCAATTTAGAAAAAGCAAACACAAAGCAATACGCACAGTAAAACCTTTTTTTTAAAAGAAGTCCGAGTCAGATGTCAAAATAGGTAACAAAAAAAAAAAAACAACTAAACAAAATGAAAATGATCAATAAATTAACAAAGGACTACTAGCAGTTACTGACATGCCAGCTCCAAACCTAAATTAAACTGATTGACAGATTTTGTCTTCATCATATGCAAATCAAGCATAATCTCTCCCGTTAGGGGTTTAGTATCATACCATCATAAAATATATGAAAAGAACATAACCCGTATCATGCCAACAAATGGTTTTAGAATAATTGTGTTTATTTCCGATTTAAAGAGAATCAATATTAAAGCCAAATATCCCATCTTTAATGACCTGACAACAGGATCGTAACTTTAACCCTTTATTAAAATCTGTTTAAAGGTTTTGTTAGCGTTTGAGGTGAATGCCGACATTTTTGTGCTTTGTAAAGAATATAAACATACTAAATTGGATGTGAAAAACCTTAAAGTAAAAGATGTCTGTATGTTGATTTATATTTCCGAATGATGTCCTTGAAACGATGATAAAAATGTTTGTTTTCTTTTCCTCTGTGATGTTGATGCTAGTCTATGTTTTCGCGTTGTATTCACTCCATATTAATCAAATTCGACAGTTGAACTTAAAAATTAAATTTGAAGAGATCATACAGTTTCAAAGACAAATCTCTGTTGCATAAAACTATGTGTTTTGAATAGGTAGTTGAATAAAAAAAATACATGTTTAAAAAGAAACTAATAGAGTTGCACTTATCGTAATCAAGATACATATGTACTTAATTTTGTCTATTATACACAACAAACAATCAAAACAAAATTTTTGGTTTTTCATTTTGTCAGTGTACTTTAATCATCTACGCGTTTTGTTATTTTCTAGACCATGTAATTACGATATCCAAAAGATAACATTTCTTTTCACAAACTACAAATGATTTTTTTTCTAGCGATAGAATATTAATACAGGTCTTATTGATATTCTGTTTAAATGTCGACGAATGTAATCGCTGCATAAAACAAATGAAAAGAGTTGTGTAAAATTTTTCTTGATTTTTCAATACTATATTGATTGGTATATCTATTTTTGGAGATTCCATTTTAATGTAATGTTTTTTGTCCTGACATGTTCAAGGATTTTCCTCAATGTAAAACGAAAAGATTTGAAAGTTGTGGAAATTTCTGCAAGCAGTTTGTTAGGTAAGACTATTCAGTTTATTAGAGAAAATCAGATTGTATTGCATTAATTCTAAACGTAGTGAACCTAAAAATTTATCCACTGACAAACCAGTTTTGATCTTTATTTTATGATACACTCCCAAAAAGCTAAGCAATTCGTGTTGAAGTTATTTCAGTTTTGTTAAATTTTAGAACCTCCTGAAAATATAAAGAACACCCATTTTGCAAAGTCTGTTAATTTCTCTTTCATATTTATTTATGATGTTCTGTCACTAAAAAATACACATGAAAATGAATGCTTACACGCATGCATCTTATTGACATTGAAGATACTTACGAAATAGAAGTCTGGTTAATATTTTGATATTTTCTGGATGAACGACTTCAAATAAGAATCCCAGATTAACGTTATGATTTTTACTTTCCAATTAAAACCTTCCCTTTACCCACCAAAAACATACCCTCTGTAAGCGTACGGTGTTAACATATCTCATTTAAATAAAAGACATTGCATGTTACCTCTATACAGACTTTAATAATATGAGTGTTATCTTTTCACGAAAACTGTTCTTACAAATGATGATGAGCCACTGAACTCGACGCTGCAAAAGGTTTATGGTCACCATCATGAATTACTGAACCGATACTTAGTGTTAGTGGCTGCCAGATCCAAATTATTGTCACATCAACATTTTATGTCTTTTTACGTTGCTTGCCCATTTTTGTCCATCAAACACATCAAAACGAATGGAAAACAACTGTCATATTCCTGACTTGGAACAGGCATTTTCTTATGAAAAAAATATGTGAATTAATTTTGGTTCCATAGCTAGCTAAACCTGTCACTTGTATGACAGTTGCATCAAATTCCATTATATTGACGAAGCTGCGTTAAAAAAAACAAACAGACAAAATAGGTAAACATGTAAAAAATAGGGGTATACATTTGTAGCGGTCAACATTGTGTTATAATCTTAACAACTATATAAAAAAATAAGATATGCCAAACAAAGAAAAATCAAAAAGACATATTGACAAATCACATTTCATTAATTTTCTTCAATTTTTTTTTAAACTGATTTGCTGCATTTTAAAAATAAGGTATCAATAACTTTATCAGCTACTCAGTTTACACGTATTTGTCATTCATTCCTTTTAATTGTGAATAATAATTGGTGGTACTTATCTGTCTAAAATTGATAACGTTTTCAATGGATTACGATAGATTAACGGGGATGCTGTTCTGTTTGAGTGATTAACCTTACGAAAAGAAGGAACACTTTAAAGTTTAAAAGGACTTATCATCAGTTTGATTTATAACAACTTGGGCGTGGTTAATTAGTTTGACGTAGCTTAATTATATCTTAAAATAACCTTAATGACCGCAGTCTATTTGACTGGTATTAAAATTATTTGAAATGGATAACAAATAAATTGAAAAACGGTTTTATTTTCTGTCAATCAAATTTAAATATTCGGTAATCTTTTTCAAATAGGGTAAATACCTGTTTTGCCGATCAATCTAAATTCTGGTTAAATTTTAGTACATCAAACACCAAATGGATTTAGTGCAAGGACATCATTAACAGTCAAAGAAAAACAAAACATAATATTGTGCTATGCCAAAATATAGGTATCGACATATTATACATTTTATAGTTCGTGAATGTGCATATGTGTTTGCAAATAATATATAGTATGATTTGAATTAACTGATAACAAAATAAATATTCAAAGATTCAATTACAGTGTTGAATTGCATTCGTTAGCTCTATTTAGATACATTTCTAAATTTCTTATGAAATGTATTAATATTCAAATATTTATTTAAGTAGGAATCAAGTGACTTTTTGTGAGATTTCTCCCGATTTTATCATAGGATGAAAAAGCATCTTTAATAACCTGACGAATCTCTTCCCACTTTAATTCTGATTGTGAACGATATTTTGGTCCTTTTTTCAGAAACCTCTTAGTATCATTCAAATATAATGAATTAACTGTGCAAAATGATATATTTCAGGAAAAGTCATATGAACAATGCCACAGTATCGGTGACTGTATGTTACATTAGACCCTATAAACAGAGACTTGCATAATGGCATTCAAACCAGGACTAGCGAATGTGCTAAATCTAAAGGTATATTCTAGACAGAGTAAAACACATTGTCATAATTCGTCTATACTAAAGTATGAGCAGGATGAATGTGATCAAAATCCACGTTTGAAACAACTATTACTCAAGGTTCTATAACAGTTTATAATATTTTACATTTATCATTTTCATTAACGGAATTTTTCACATATATTTAGTTTTTTTCTTGTCCTGTTGTACCAGCTTTTTTCATATATAATGACTTAGTGATCCAAAATTTAAAATGTACATCATACATAATTTCAATTATCTAATACTGATAAATGGATGACAAAAAATGATATGGTGAAGGGATATACTAACAGCTCCATGATGAACATCTGCCATCACGTGTAATTTGTATCAAACCTGTCACCTTTGTATATCAGATGACCCTTTCAAAGAAGTCTTTCATAACAAGATATTTAATTCTCTTTTAGCCTACCAGTTCCTTAAGATATACGAAATATTTCCCAAACAATTCAGAGTATGCAAGCAAAGTGTATCCGGTAAGTTTGTTATAAATACAATGAAAAAGGAGATTGTAATAATTTACAATTACATAAGCTAAGATACAAACTTAAATATATGTCATAACACATCAATGGTCACCAATGATCTTGACCTTTGGACTTCCTCTGAATTCAGGTCTCATACATATTTGCTTTTCAAATATTTGGCCATGAGTGTTCCTGATTTTGGTAAAATAAAAACGCATTTCTGTTTCAATGATATAGGCACTGTGAATGTAAATATCTATTACACAATTGAAAAAAAAAGTTATTAAATTATGAAATAAGAATTATATAAGGATTGGAATATGATCTACATGACAAGCCAAATTCAATAAAATAATGAAGTTCTGCATATCCTTCCATCCCCTCCACCCTACGCCTATACTTGAGCAGCAGATTTTACCTTAAAATTTGTAAGTCATTTTATTCTCTACTCATATCATGGTAACTAGATTTGGAAAACATTTGGGAAACTCAGAAGTCTCATGAAAATGTTTGTGAACCCAAAGCTTAATTCGTATAGCTCATTATTTCAAATAAATATAATTTTAGTGAATGATATACATTGTTAGACCCACGAGTTACTTACAATATATATGTGTTCTTGTTACACTGTTTTATAAGAATGTGTTTATATTTTGGTCAGGATTATTCGCATAGATTTTTAAAGACTTCATTTATACATGAAATCCTGTCATCAATATCAGTCCACTCGTATCGTTATAATTATTATCATGATTGTTATCAGTAAACATTTAAAACATATTTAAGACAATTTAGACATAAGATTAAATCTTAATTTATAAATATTGAGTAAAATCATGAGACGGCCGCCATATTTTTCAGATAACAACAAACAAAATGTCGACAACATTCAAGTTTAATTTGACAGGCAAATTGAAAAGTGTTATTTTTGCTTCAATAGATATAAGATGATGTAGTATGAGTGCCAATGAGACTACTCTCCGTCCAAGTAACAATTCATAAAAGTAAACCATTTTCAGGCCAAAGTACGGTCTTCAACACGAAGCCGGGGCTCACACCGAACAGCAAGCTATAAAAGGCCCCAAAAATTACTAGTGTAAAACCATTCAAACGGGAAAGCTAACGGTCTAATCTATATAAAAGATTTATGCTGATAATTACCGAACAAGTTTTTGCCTACAAGCAGCATATTACAAACCAGCTGATTTTTCTACGCGCAATCTGCCAGGTAATAAAAGGGTTCATTCTCCTTTAAGGAATAATAAAACATACAGTATTATCATTCCGTTATATTAACTTTGTGTTCTTTACAGTCATACATATTATGTTGCTTTTTTTGTCTTATCAATGAAAAATCCTTTCGGTGAAACAACAAACATGAAAGAATAATGAGAATTTTAAAACAAACTACTTCGTGATTTATTGATCATTATTCTACTTAAAAAGGAAAAGAAGAGGAGACTCAAGGTAAAGATTTACACTTCTATATAAAGATTTAAGCAATATACTGTAGTGTGAACATGGTGAAGGTAATGGCATCCGACAGCATTACTTACCGACAAATTACAACCAGTATATTGAAGAAGCCTATATCTCACACCCAATAACCTTTATATTATACTTACTTTTTTCAAAATATCTCTTGTTGATACAGTGACCATTATGCCATTTAGGTAACTTTGAACATTTAATGCTGGTTTTATTATGAAGATAAATATGAGTGCAGCGACCGCGTAGTGCTGAGAGAGAGAGAGAGAGAGAGAGAGAGAGAGAGAGAGAGAGAGAGAGGGAGAGGGAGGGAGACATATCTGCGACCGCTAGCAGCAAAAAACGTAAACTATTCTACTTGATATCAGGTTCAATTATCTTCCTTATCGTAGCAAGCTTCTAAATCAATCTGATAAGAAATCTGGTTTCTCCTATCAATACTTCCCTGACAACCAAAAAATACTTGTAAACGACAAAATTTGTTTGTAGCATAAACAAAAATTGCTACAAATAATTATGTTATTGAATGTAAAAACAAATTTAATAAAATTGAGAATGGAAATGGGGAATGTGTCAAAGAGACAACAACCCGACCAAAGAACAGATAACAGCCGAAGGCCACCAATGGGTCTTCAATGTAGCGAGAAATTCCAGCACCCGGAGGCGTTCCCGCACCCGGAGACGTTGTTGGTCATTTTGTAGGACTGCTGCAGACCTATTGACATGTCTGCTACTGACCAGACCTGAGGATTTTTCATATTAGAAATGAGCTTTTATTATGTAAACAATAATAACATTGTTCTATTTTCCCCAGTATAGCAAATTACTATACTCGCAAGACTCTATTAGATATTATACACATTAACAATTTTATATTCTTATATACATAAAATAATGACTATAAAATGACACACTTGTGATCGGCAAATATACATGCATTTAACATAAAAGAAAGAGAAGTTTTGTTTGAAATAGAGGCGGATAGAAGGTTATCTAACGCATCGGAAAATATTTTATATATGATGGGATATTAACATCATTGTTTACATTGTTCGTTCCCAATGTTTTACAGTGTCTTCCTAAATATAACTTTATGCAATTTACATATATTTTTTATCGTAATTCACCTTGTTTGCCATCGATTTACGATTCTGTTTTTGACAAAGTGTTTAAACAAAAATTGTACAGTGTCCGGCTATATAAGGTGTTGTATAATTATAAACCATCTCGCCAATTTTGATAGATTTATCTTCACCGATTATAAATGATATCTCGGACGTCCGAACAAATATACTCGTTCTGAACATGAATGAAATATTTGCCCCTTAACGTTTAGCTACCAACAAAATAAATCAACCAACATTCTACATTAACAGTATACTTTTCTCAGAGGAGAACTGTACATACCTTTCATTATGAAGTACAAATTAAATCAATCATGTAAGTTTTGGATGATTCAGTCAAATAGTTTTGTTTTACAAAACTGAACTACTGACTTTTTTGTCGACTGTTAAATATTATGAATACAGAGAGGAAGAGATTTTGCTTATTGTTGAATGCCATAAAGTTACCCATATTTGTTAATTTTTGTGTCATTTGGTCTCTTTTTAAATTGTTGTCTCATTAGCAATCACACCACATATTCTTTGTTATAGATAATAAGTCAGAAAAAAATGAGAGTGCAACTTGACTTATTGATGTGAAAATTGAATAGTAAAATTGCTATATAATGAATATTTTTTAAAGTTGATTTTTATGTTCTGTCAAACTTTGATTAAACATGAATACTAAAACTTCGTAAGTATTGCTTTTGCCCTTATTTGTTTTTGTCAAAATCGACTACCGGTGATGTGTGAAGGAAACTTAATAAACTGTATTTTTATCAGTCTTGATATTGTCAATCGTCTTTTTCTTAGGTTCATTTCATTGTCTAAAGCATTGTGTGTTTTATAGCACCGAGACGCTGAAACTCAAACAGAAGAAGATATTATCATGTCAACTCGTAAAAACAACGAAATCGTACATGAAAACTTTAATCGTAAAGAGGAAACAAGGGACCAATCGGTAATAGCACTTTTCCTATTTTTAAAGACACAACAGATAAACAGATTCAGAAATTTGAATGAATGATGTTACAATGTATAGCAAAAATGGCGGATCGTGCCTTTTTGAACGTTAGCAAGGTAAACGATAACTGCAACATATGAACAAGGACAAAAAACCAAAACAAAATAAAAAAATCGCATAGATCAAGCCTTTTCAAAACGTTTAGTCCACGAATGTTGAGTGTTATTATGTGTTCATGCATCGTCAGTTGAAGTAAACACTTATCTTTTCAACATTAAATGGGTTTTTATAAATATTATCAGTGCCAACAGCGTGAAGAAGGAAGCGCATTTTGATATGTGGTAGCGAATTCCCTGTTTATTATCTTTATGAATAACAGAAAAAGAATTGGTTCATGTCGTCCAATTCTTTGGCTGTATTATCTCCAAACATTAACAATTAACAACTGGTATTGTGCTAAACATATTCTAAATATCCATTAAATTCTTGGTCGATGTTATGAATACTATGAAGAAAATACCAAATGTAATAAGACAGAACAACTCTAAAAAAATTCTCTATTTCAGAAAGTTTGTTTCTTGATTTTCGTAGTACTAAAGTATGAGATTATTACCCATGAGGATAAAATGTCAAACATGTAACACTCTTTATTGATACCTCACTTGTATTTTTATTATTCAGTGCAGTGTTTTACAGACTGCTTGTCTCTTTTTTTTGTTGAATTTCATTTCGTATATTTTTCAACGTTCTTCCATATTCCATATGTGGAGCAGACGTTGCTTACCTTATCTGACGCACTTATGTAACATGAAGTGTTTGATGTTTGTTGGTTATCTTGTTGCTTAGTCTTTTGTGATAATCCCGGACTTGTATTTCCTATCATGATTTCCTTGACACAGGGTTGCTGCTCACAAGGAAACAGCTATTAAACCAAGAGTTCCAAAATGGTGAAGTTGAAATCATCACTTCGTAAATGTTACGGACACCATCACGAGTTGGTTGACCGTTACTGAATAACCGTTTCACAGATGATATCGGATATGTTCCTTATGTCATAATACAATCCCCCTCCCTTTTCACGAATGTGAACTACAGAATTAGACTATTTACCGGATTTGTAATAACATACGCAACACGACGGGTGCTACATGTGGAGCAGGATCTGCTTACCCTTCCGGAGCACTCGAGGTCACCCCAAGTTTTGGTTCGGTTAGTGTTGCTTAGTCTTTAGTTTTCTATGTTGTATCTTGTGTACTACTAAGTGTCGGTTTGTTTTTTTCTGTTTTAGCCATGGTGTTGTCAGTTTATTTTCGATCAATGAGCTTGATTGTGTCTTTGGTATCTTTCGCACCTCCTTGTGTTGTATGTAGTGATTTTGATTGTTGATCTTTTATTCGTACTTTGGTGTTATGTTGAAATATTCTAATCAATATTGAACAGGATTTGCTCTCCATCTTGAAACACTGATATCAACTCCGATTTGGCTGTGGTAGTGCTGTCTTGTCTTGCCTTCCTTAAGATGTATTTTTGAAGATTACCGTTTAACTGATTACACATACGTTTCAGCATCAAGGCGAAAAAATGTAAACTCTTAATGATATATCAGACATTATTACAAGACAAACATCGCTAGAATTGTCTTTGGATACTCATCATCACTTTATCATTATTCATGTCATTATTTAATTAAGACTTATTATTCAATTTGAACAGCACTTAGAGATTTCATTATCTAGGTCATTATCTAAGGTTACTGATTGGTATGCAAAACAGTTCGATAATATTTGCATAGTTTTAATAGTAATGCCGGTAGAACTTTTGAAATACGAAATATCATATATTATAATATGAAATGCAGAATATTTATTGAAAAAAAACATGATAAAAAACCAATATACAGATAGAATGAGACAGGCTTTAAAAAGAATCAATAAAATCCGTGTCACTGTCAGGATGTGTATCCTATGCCTGACCACTTCATTTTTTTCAACGTCATATAGCCATGTTATTGAGATCACATTAAAAACTAACCAATATCACACATATAGAACTCCAACGTGACCGGGAAAACTATATTATATATCGCAATCATAAACCTAAAATAATGTGTATGTTCTAGCATCCAAAAGCTAGTCAAACAGAAAGAGTCGATGTCTTACAATCCTACACACAAACAGACAACACATACGACGTTGTCGAAATAGCAATTCAGACGGAGGAAGTGGACGTTCAAGATAGTTCAAAGGTAACCAAAACTATGTGTATGCTCGTAAGATATATTGATTATATATATTCATTAAGCAAATATTCAATGCGTTTGTGTCGTGTTCTTCGTAATAATTGTTAAGGAATCATATGATCACCTTTTAATCGTGCAAAATCTGATATTTGTACACTTTTTTTTGTTTGCTGATTGATAAATTAAAAGTTCAATACATCGTTTTCTACATAAAAAAATGCCTGTACCAAGTCAGATAGACATAAAATTCGGGTTTGTTTCGCGTTTTGAAAATACGGCAGGTTTTTTTTACAAATTTTTGAAGTATATATAGAATTACAATTGATTACATTAACGATCAGATACCAGATATATCACGATCCGATCGTAATGCTTGACCACCGTTAGGTATTCTTTCATGATCAATTTTCTTGATAAACCGAATGCCAACCGTGAAGGTTGTTTCACTGCGAATCAAATTGCAGTAAGCGTATTTGGTATTGTTCTGGATCAATTAAAAAAAACAAAAGGGACTTTGAAATAATATTTTTTTATGTTTGGTGTGAGGATATCGTATTTCTCATGTTTTTAGTTACTTTCATGTACTGTTTTGCTTATTAAGCGATTTCATTCAAACTTCTTCCACTTTTACTTATTTCAATGATTAGTTGTTTAGTTTCCACTTCACTTTAGGATTCCGACATTTTGACAAACTTACTACTTATATATGTTTTGTTGACTGTTGATTCTTAATAAGAATTAAAAGTATTATTTTATGCAATTCGATGTCGGCCATGTCATATTGGTAGGGTAAGTTAAGCATGTGACAAAATGTAATATGTGTGTCACTGCTTAATGTTCTCTAAATGATAAGATGTAAATGCAACAGCCCAATGTGAGGAAACACAAAACAAAACAAAAAAGTTTCAAAGCGTTTGACTCTTCAGATGTATAATATGCACAAAATCAATTTATCAAGTCTCGATCTAGTCATTATTGTTTTTTTTTCAATTCGAAAAATGTGTTGTGAACGTTGTATCAACATTGGGACATCCTTTTTTTAATCACAAACAGAAATCCTTTTTTTTATAGTTAATTGGGTTTTACTATCATGAATATTAGAAATCATTTAACCATATCAAACAATTATATTTCCTTACTTTTATTTAAGAGCGTATATGATAAAACACAACAGAATCCAACTTTTGAGGTAAGCTGTTTTCATATGATTATCAACACCTGTAACATTTCTCAATGGAATTTGATTTTTTGTTCTTCAATACATTGCATATTGTTTTACTTGATGTAAAAGGGTTTCGTGATGCAGAAACATTGAGAAAGCAACTGCGGTGATAATATTTGTCAACAGTTTTCGAGTATGTTCGTACTTTGTTATATTCATCGGTTATGTATATCAATTTCTCTGCATTCGAATTAAGTAGTAAAATAATATTTTCTGATCATATTGACATAAGTACATTGATCTTTCTCTTCAATCTGTGCCAAAAAAACTGACCTGAAAGTATGTGCTCTGAAAAGAATAAAATGTTGTGCTACAATAATGACACCCGACGTGTTATAAATGATAAAATACATTAAAGTGTTATATTTAATCGTAAGTTATCACAAACAAGAAGATAGATATATGTCTCGTAACTTATCTCAAATTGTTACATATAGACTTGTTTTAGCTCAAACATGAGTGAATGTGCATTCTTGAAATAAAAAGAGAAATTATTATGTCATGATAAGGAATACTAAATAATCTTAAAAGAGACAACACGAAGAACAAATTTAAAAGCGGTGAAATCGACCAAATGGTAATAACAATAAATAAAAAAAAAATACCAAAAAAAAACACATAATTAGTTGTTTACGGGTGAAAGGCGCGTATCTAGAATAATCTTTATTAGGAAAACTCAAACTTGAACATAATATTATATGACTTACAATCGGCATTTCTATAGAAATCAGTTCTTTCTGCATATGAATGTTGCGTTATACGTTTGAATAATGGCATCAGTATTTATTATCGAGGGCATATTACAAACGTCTTCATAATCATGGATAATGGCGATAGTTATTCTTTTGAAGGCTGAATGTTCTTTAAAAAGGGGCATTTATCTCTTTACTTACTAATAATTTATTCAATTTAGAACGAAATCCAACAGACAAGTGGAAGACACGTAAGCTAACCTTGAACTGTATATCTAAATCTACTATCATACTATTATTAATCATTGTTACCGAATCTACATTGTAACTACAATTGATTTATGTGAAAGGACAAAACATTCCGTGAAAAACATTGAGTCAGATGAGCATTCAGAAACTATATTTTTGTCTGTCCTACCTCTTATTTATCAGAATGATTATATAGCTAGTTAAAAAAGTAGAGTTAAAATTATTCATTAATTTGGTATCGGATCAAAAATACCTTTACTGCAATGTTGTCCTTATTTAGTATATTTTACTAACAATAATAATAATCCCCAAGGGTGACTGGGGAATAGAAGTATGGTCATCATTGGTCTTCCTCCAACCGGCGGTAAAACCCTCGTCAAAGTGGGGCGTCCGTTTGGCTGTGCGGGATGTACAAATTTGCAGCCACGTCCGGTCAGAATGGGGACGTTAAATCCGAAGCCTCGTGTAAAGATAATGCCATGCTCTTTGCACGTTAAGAACCCTTGCAACAACTCTTTGAGGGGTCCGTAGGTGACCTGTTGCAAGGCTAAATTTCTGTCCCTATCCAATATACCCTTATTTCCCGTGGCAGTCTTAATTTCTCCGACCTCAATCCCAGAAGCCTCTATTACAGAACCTATCTATTGTATTTATTGTTAATTTGTGCTCGTCCTGAATATGCATGAAATATTTGCCACTGGACGTTAAGCAACCAACAATCAATCAATCAATCAATAATAATAATATAATTTTGCCTGCAAACTTCCTATTTAGAAAAAGTCACTTCCGGTCTCTTATGATAGCTTTATTTACAGTGATTCTAAAAATATAAAGTCTGTTTATTCTTATTAAGTCGTACTATTTGGGCGTAAATAAATAGTAGACTATGTAGGATTCTGGATAAATTTTATTATTGGTGAAGCATCAACGAAACCCTGTAATGTAATATCACATTTAATAACAACGCATATAAATCAATTCTTCTAAACATGTATTATATCAATCTGAAAAATTTGCGTAATATGTAAACTCACAAAAATTAAATGTAAAATACGTCACAGATTATGAAATTAACAAAATGTGCAATTAAATCTTCCAGTCCTTGGACGGTGTAAACTTCTCACTAACACCATTCACCATCACACTGTCCACCATACACCATTAAACCATACACCCTTTGCTATTACACCATACACCCTTTGCTATTTCACCATACACGTAACACCTTTGTACCACACACCTTAAACATTACACCATAATGCAATTTAATTTCAAAGAAAGCGTGGGACTAGAACATTATTTATTTATTTAAAAAACCGAATTTTGATCACAATATTGTAAACTAATGTATAAAATTAAAGATCAGTTCTTGTCAATATTTTTACATAGTTTTAAATGTCGTACACCATTCATTCACACCATTCCCGATCGCACGTTACACCATTACACCATTCTCCTTACACCATACACTTTCTACCATTGCACCATATGCCATACACCATTACACCATACACCTTTCTTGGGGAAGTTTACACCATCAAAGGGCTGTATTTAATCCAAATATTACTTCCTGTGGCATTCAAACAGAATTTAAATTGTCAAAAGAGCAAAATAGAAATATATCATTTAGCAAAAACATTATAATAAACGAATTAGCCTTTAAACAAACAGTCTAAGCAAAATAAGCATTAATTAAGCCAATAACAAAAAACAATTAACTAATAAAGCTAAGCTCAGCTTAGCTAAACAAAGAAAAATAACTAAGATAATAAAATAATAATACGCAACTACAAAAGAACACTCGTTATTGCCTCGTATGAGGTACACAGGTTAAGCCTCAACATATATCTACATCTTGCATGTCTTATGCAGAACTCTGTCAAATATCTGTATAACAAAAACTAAATTATCGTTACTGTTCACAGACTTATATTTTACTTAAAATCAATAATATGGAGACAAACATATCATAAAGACTCTGAAAAATATTTATCAAGTTAACATTAAACTCATTTACTCTCGGACTCATTCTGCTCAAATATTCGCCATTCAATACGTTTATCTTTATTCCAAGGCTTAAATGACGTAACTCAAATGTTAAAGATGAGTAAACAAACTGACCTGACATAATCTAGGAATTCCTCCAATACTAATAATACAAAATACGAAACAGCAAATAAAGACAAAAGCAAGTATATGAAACGTCTGTTCGGTTTGAACAGCAATCCAAAATTAACTATAGACTTCAATAAAAAAAAAATTGTCAAAAGATATATAACCAATGAAATAGCAGAAAGTGTGCGGTCAAATCAAGCGTAAAACACTGACCATCAATCAAGGAGAAGTGAGTAATAATCAAGTCGAAACTAGTCAATCGTCAAAGTCTGTGAAAATTAAATACGAATAGTACAACTCATAATTAATTTCAATCCGTAATTAATCTATTTGAGAACAGAAACACAATTATGAATAAGGAATAAAATCATTTTTATTTTAAAATAAATTCAAACAAGAAATAAAATACAAATTACATAATCATATCAATATTTATTCAATCATGAATGAATACACGCTAGCACACTAATGCCTGTAATGAGGGAGATAAGTGGCTACTTCCAGTTATAGACTATTCCTTCCGGTCTCAAATGATATGTTTATGTATGGCAATTAAAAAAAAACAAGTGTGGATTTAATGTACTTTTCCAAAAATTAAGTGAAAAATTACTTCTTCCGGGTAACTCAAGGTCACTTCAAGTTGACATTTTATAAAGTCATATGCACCAAAATCTGCAAAATACCTCATAGCTTGATCATGTACAAATCTGAAGTATTAATCAATCTACCTAAAAATGAACCATTTCAAAGGCATTAACTCTTATGATATGCCATTGGATCGATGCAGAATAAACATACCATATCTTCATCAGTTTGAAGATAATATTTTGCACCAGTGTTTCTATATATAAATTAAAAATTAAAACAAAATTATGCAAAAACAAGCAAAAGTCAAAATTGGGATCATGACCTTGACCTTTGACCTTGACCACCTTTTCAAAACGAGGGCATAATGACCTAAAATAAAAAGACTCATGCCAAAGATATATTTGAGTAAACAAGAAGTGGCTTCTTATCAATTGTTTGACAATTCATTTGGAATGTGTTATGTGGTTTTATGGTGATTAACAACTGATTACAGAGAAATATTTTAGTTTCACTCATTTCATTCCTTTAACCGGAGTTTCAAGAAACATTTATTGAAATACGTCAAGGATATTTAGAAATGTGCTTGACAATTGACTTATAGTCTCTGTTATACATTTTTGTTATATGTTCATACAGAATTGTATTATTTAGAAGACTAAATATGCAAAAAAAAAGTGATATCGTGTAAAAAATGTTCGTTCTTGACCTTTCATCGTGAGTTGATTACAAATTACAAGTTTGTTACATTAAAAACGAAATATCATGGTTAATGTCACTTTACTATATCTTTATTTTCATCTATCTAAATATTCATAGCTTCTAAATGTTTAGGTTTTTTTGTTAGCTTTCCTGATTACGGTTAATAGAGAGTGGGCTTCTTACACGAAATGTATGGAGTGTTATTTCATCAAATAGATAAAATATCAGATAATAATTGTTTATGTTTCAAAAAAGGATGATAAGACAAGAGTAAAGAAGAAGAAAAGGCGAAAAACACCCGAGGTATTTACTTACACCACTATTACATAACAAATGTATGAATGTATTTAACCTTGTTCTTGAATTCGTGAGAAAAATGTTTGTCATTTATCGTGTTATTTTGAAAAGTATATATCACTAATACTGGCCGTCGATTGATTTGTTCGCCATGATCACACTGGAAGCACAATATCTAATTTTGTATATCGAATACCCAAAAGCAAATAAAATTGTTAAGTACGCAAACGATTTTTGAATGAATGACAGACAAGGCATTTTGTGTTAAACAATATACAATTAAGAATCATTTCAAATTCAGAACTAATAGTGGTACAGCTCAACATTATAAAGTATCATTAACAATATAGTTCAATGACAAAAAAACATAATTTGTCCTTCCCATATAATTGAAATGTTGTATCATGATTTGCTTTCATTTTTAGTGATATTTTTTTAAGCTCTTTACCATATAAGAACAAGATCAAATCGGTTATCACTTTTGAATATTGAATATCAATGTATCTGAATAAAGCGATATTTTGTTGTCATTGTATCTAGCATTTGAAGATGAACATTTAGTTATGCAAACATGTATATGCATACCAATATTTATTATCCAAATCAACGATTCTACATATTTGTATTAATCAAATACTATAGACTCAATGACTTTTATAAACCAGATGTTCAATGTCAATATAATGTTCGAATACTAAAGAAAAGTGTATATCCTTATCAGTATGCCTGCTCAATCTGCTATGTTCTAGCTATATATTTGATTTGATAACGATTTCGATAATAGAAGACTAAGTCCCAATAACAGTGAAGAAAAATAAGAAAAAAAAGCAAAATGAAAATTAAATGTAAAAATGAATAATAACAAAAATCCAGAATCACCGCATATAGCTTTCCTGTCTTTCACACTGGGTCAGAAATCCGCGTCAGTTCTCGTTCATTTCACCCTTTTCTTTAACATCTTGAGGTAGCACTCAACTGTAAGGAATGAAAATTAAGGTTGAACCACAAAATGTTGAATCATCTTCTATTCCTGGATTGTTAATGCTTTAAACTTGTATCAAAGAAAAAAAGTGGATGATTGCCTATGAGATAACTTTCCGTCCAAGTCATATTTTGTAAGACAGTAAACCATTATAGGTCAAAGTCATACATGTACATACATATATGTAATACGTATTTTAAAATAGTGAAATATAATTCTTTATTTTGTGTGTAAACATGACAACATTCTGCGTTTATTTACTATACTATATTGCAAAAGGGGCATGAAAATATCGCATATTCCCTTAAATTTGGTTCAAACTAGAATGTCAGTCCTTTGGGGAAATATCTTTTCTGAAACAATGGACATTAAGCTAAATCTATCAAATGTTCAGATGAATTTCAAAGTTCGTACGACAAAAAAATTCTGTCATATAGCAAACAGCCCGTAAATTATACATCACACACTATTGATGCACATCTAACCCTACAATGGAGGCTGTAAAAGCTTTCCGCTACTAGTATTTAAGAATAAATTTTATTGCACATTATTGCGAAAATATTTCAATCGATGAAAGTCGGATATAATTTCAATAAACCAATTGATTATTTAAACCGCACCATCATTGTATATCAAGCCGATCGTATTAACATGATATACTTAAAAACCCTTTAAAGACAGATTTCATGGAACACAGATAGTATTGGTCAATTACCACTTTAGTTCGCACATAACGGATGCCTCTTAATTTTTAAAGAACATAGATTCATAAAATTCCATAACAATTTTGATCTAGGTGTTATAGAATAAACAAAATCTTGAACAGAAAAATATTTTTGCACCTAACATTAAACATTAAATTTATATGTATATTGAGTCAAAGCTTCAAAGAATGCATATAAATTCACATGTGAGCATCATCTTCTTTGTATTCTGTCTTCAATGGCATTTTGAGCAACCAACAAATTCATTAATGACTTTATACAAGCAATTGTCTTGCGTTATTGTATCCTGGTCCTTATTATTTCTAATGGAATCTTTTATCGGTATATTATATTTATAGTAAGGAATAGAAACACATTGTTTGCAAATGGCATTAATATGGTTTGGTAAGTAAATAATCCAAATAAAACTTGTTGGTACACAAGTAAAATTATACTGTCTTATTAACACGTATTTATTACGCAAGCGGTCACAGACTTCAGAACAACCAGAGGATGGATCATCATCAAAGAAAGATAAAGAATTGCGTATTATCTGGAATAAAATGAAAAATTTTGGTGAGCCAAGAGTAGTTGTCTCTGTGATAGGGACCTATAATAAAAGGACGCAAACATATGACATGGCTGATAATTTAATGTTGAGGAAAGCCTGCAATCATGTAGCAAGATTTGCTGGAAGTAAGTTACTTTAGCAGTTCATATATGGACTTGTTAGGTTTGAGAATGCATTCTTCTGACGTTTCGGTCTCGTTGATATCTCGTTCCGGAATTATGTCCAAAACATGTAATACAAGTGAAAATAATCAATGAATTTTTAAAAATAATATAATCAAAGTAAACTCTTTGAAAAAATTGTGTACTTACAATAAGTAATTTTTAGGTAATAAAATTTGAAAATCTTTATTACCAATCAAGTCAGTCTCATTATCTAAAATGTTGACAAAATGGGTGAGGGGTACAGGACATTTTACCAGGAACATCTGCATTTAATATCAATTTGCTTCATTTCAAATTTTTCAGATATGTAGTTTTTCAATTATTTATTACAAAGAAGTTGAATGAATGTGCTTAGAGTATATTTAGAGAAACATTAAAAAAATTACAGCATAATAAATTTGACACAAAGAAGCAACAAAATTAAAAAAAAAACTTTCTTCAATAAACACCTACCTATAGTTTTTTTTATTTAAATTTATTCAGATTGGTCCACTCCATCCTTTTTGAAAGTATGAACAAAAGTTTTATTGGGGAACTGTGATTTATTCATGATTATAGACAAGAAATGGGTAAAAAATGACGAACAATGGGAAAATCATCAGAATTGGGTACTTTCAAATGCGGAAGCAAATAAAGAAGAGCACGAACATATGATTTGTTTTCACCAATGATTTTCGGGCCAGGTGAGCTTTTCTCATCACTTGGCGTCCGTCGTCGTCCGTCGTCCGTCGTCCGTCGTCGTTAACTTTTACAAAAATCTTCTCCTCTGAAACTACTGGGCCAAATTTAACCAAACTTAGCCACAATCATCATTGGGGTATCTAGTTAAAAAAATGTGTTCGATGACCCGGCCAATCAACCAAGATGGCCGTCATGGCTAAAAATAGAACATAGGGGTAAAATGTAGATTTTGGCTTATATCTCTGAAACCAAAGCATTAAGAGCAAATCTGGCAGGGGTAAAAATGTTTACTAGGTTAAGATCTACCTGCCCTTAAATTTTTCAGATGAATCGGACAACCCGTTGTTAGGTTGCTGCCCCTGAATTAGTAATTTTAAGGAAATTTTGCAGTTTTTGGTTTTTATCTTGAATATTGTTATAGATAGAGATAAACTGTATACAGCAATAATGTTTAGCAAAGTAAGATCTACAAATAAGTCAACATGACCAAAATGATCAGTTGACCCCTTAAGGAGTTATTGCCCTTTATAGTCAATTTTTAACAATTTTTCGTAAATTTTTGTAATCTTTTACAAAAATCTTCTTCTTCGAAACTACGTGGAGAAATTTAACCAAACTTGTCCACAACCATTATAAGGGTATCTAGTTTTAAAATTGTGTCTGATGACCCCGCCCGCGAACCAAGACGGCCGACATGGCTAGAATTAGTAGATAGGGTAAAATGCAGTTTTTGGCTCATATCTCTAAAACCAAAGAATTTAGAGCAAATCCGACAAGTTAAAATTGTTCATTAGGTCATGATCTACCTGCCCTAAAATTTTCAGACTATTCAGGCAACCCGTTGTTGGGTTGCTGCCCCTGAATTGGTAATTTTAAGAACATTTTGCAGCTTTTGGTTATTATCTTGAATATTATTATAGATAGAGATAAACTGTAAACAGCAATAATGTACAGCAAAGTAAGACCTAAAAATGTGTCATACATGACCAAAATGGTCAATTGACCCTTAATGGAGTTATTGCCCTTGATAGTCAATTTTTAACAATTTTCATAAATTTTGAAAATTTTTACATAATATTTTCCACTGTAACTACTGGGCCAAGTTCATTATAGATAGAGATTACTGTAATCAGCAAGAATGTTCAGTAAAGTAAGATCTACAGACACATCACCATCACCATAACACAATTTTGTCATGAATCCATCTGTGTCCTTTGTTTAATATGCACATAGACCAAGGTGAGCGACACAGGCTCTTTAGAGCTTCTAGTTTTACAGTCGTATAACCCAAAAAATCAGGTCAAGAAAGAGAGTATAATTGTAGAAACTGTTGGCTCTTCAGAGGTGTACATCATTAAGTAATACACAGCAATATAGAGTACGAATTGCATGAATAAAAAAATCCCGTTTGACGATTCCTCGGTTAAGGGGGCTCGGGCCTATTCGAAGTTTCTGTCAGAAGTGCCATATTTTTTGTTATTTTAATCTTTACAGAGAATGAATCAAAATGATCGGAAAAAAATAGGGGGTCACGGACCATTTAAGCTCAAAATATTACTTTTAAACAGGTATGTATAAGGGACCATTTTTCAATGAAATGATAAGAAAAATAGAGGTGTTGACATATTTTTATCGGAATATCAAAAAAATTGTCTGTGACACTTGGTCCAAAACCGTAATATAAAAAGCTGAAATAAAGCTTCAAAGCATAAGCAAATGAAAGATATAGGTCACCGATAAGGAAAAAAAAATATTTTGCCTTAAAACCAAAAATTTTGGCGGGAAAATGGTTAAATATGGTGAAATTGGGTGAAGTGTCATTTTTAGCCTTTCACAGATACACATAATAACGATAATATTTTTAAGTGACAAAAATACAATAATTTAACATTTTTAATCAATCAAAATATTAAAAAAAAATAATAGTGAATTTACGACACACACTTTTCGTGTGCATGGTAATTTATGCGTGAAATTATGCGCAGTCGAATATTACCGATCCACCTTAAAGGGATACATCATATTAAACACAACACGTAATAAATTATCTGATATTTTGCCAAAACAAAACAATTGCAAAATTTTGATTACCGACAAATAACGGTCAATGTTTAATGAAAAACAGACATTAAGCCGCCTGGTTTTTGTTTCCTTGCTTTTTCTATTCCTTACAGAGTTACGAGATTTCTATATCCGTTGACTACTGTCCCCTTAACTTTAATGATAATACAATATGAGGCATAGATGAGAAAACATGGTGTCACTTCATTACGCAGTTTTGAGATCTGAAAAGAAAGATAGTTCATATTGAATATACAAAAGGCAAATTTTCAGGGAATTTTAGACGAAATCAACACATCAATGCAAAATACTTGTGTCTACCATTATCAATAATTGTTTGGCCCCTGAAATTGAAAAATCGGGAATGTATTAAAACCTTTCAAACTAATATCAATATAGTGTTTACTGAACAAGATAGCGTGAGGATTGTGGACTATTTATGGCAGTCATTTTTACACATTCTGCTTAAAACCCCGTTTGACTAATAATTGTTTTCTTCTTCTCCAAATCTGTATGAGGCAATGATGGCAGGTTGGATAAAATTGTACTAAATGTGTGAATTTTGAAGAGATATTGTCAAGACTTAATTCTACAATATAAATACCGATGTCGAATTAACTCATGTCTTATAATCATATGATGCATAATTTTCAGATGATTTATCTTACTTATTGGTATTATAAATATACTTCATGGCAAAATTATATGTAATGGAAACTCATGTTCAATCTGTAAAAAACTCACATTGATCAACTACATTGCTTTTCTAATGTTTTACTATGGCTTCATTGATTGTCGTGGATTCAGGAAAACTTGCATATTCATGATTTTTTTTATTTCGTGGTTGAGTTGATTCTGCATATTTTCATGGTGAACATTTCTAATTCGATGAGTATTTAAATTTATGATATAACTGACCAACGAAATGCATAAATATTGGTTTTTAACGAATAATGAATTTAGAGTAAGTTATTTACTAACTTCCAATGTAATTTCATGGACTGTTTGTGTCATCTGTTAATCATCAAACATTATTGTCTTTTGAATAGGATGTGGTTTTATATATAAGGAAGACGAGACAAATTTTTTGCAAAGTGTAGTTAACAAGTGTGCTCCTATTTGCGATTTACCACATACATATGGATACTCATCAGTGTATATTTCAGTAAGTCATCTAATAGATCATACAAAAATGAAATATACATTTTAGAATTAATAGACCCCTACATTTTCGATGTTTACGTAATCATTCCTAATAAAATTCCTAGCAGATTGAAAATAACACAATAAAGCACGGTGAGCTGTGATAGTTGAAACGTGGATCTGTATGTTGGTTATAAGACCAAAGTCTTTATAAGCAATGCACAATACATCCAGTATACAATGCACACATTAACATACTAATATTAGTCTTAATGGTCATTTTGATATCAACATCAAATAAACACTTTGAAATGAAAATGTAAAGATAGCATATCCAGTGCTGTTCAATACATGTTCAGACATTCATTATATTGTTTTCTTTTACAAATAAGTTACAGCTGCTGAATAGAATTGTCAGAAAAGTAATGCATGTACCACATTACATAAGTCTGAACATTTACTTAAAGATTGAACATGACTTGGCATTCTATGGTTTAGTCTTTAAGGGTATGACATTACCGTTTCGTGTATAAACGGGTTTACCAATGAAATGATCTTATGCGCGTAATCAAACATTTACGTCTAAACAACAATTAAACGGAAAACTAGTTATTAGAAAATAAATGAAAGGCACAGCGAAGGATGAGATTAAATTTTTGAATTCATATGCAATACAACACAACATTTGAATGCACAATAGGATTGTTTTTTTTTTGTTTATTCAGGACAACGAAATAGAACAAGGAATAGAATGTGTAAAGGAAGTGAGTAGATTATTTTTCCATAATTTTCTTTTTTTACATAATATAAAACTATAAATTTGTTTCAATGGTTGTACAATATATGCATAAGATAGCAATTACAACGTTTGTATATCACTTGAAAAAAATGATGTAGTATTTATTATAGAATTTTGGAAAAACTTATCTTTTATTATCTACATGTATTGTATAAGATGCATGTATAAGTTTTCATGACCAATCGTAACAACATCTGATACAAAAATTTAACAATACTTTTAGATATTTTGATGATATATTAGCTCTAAATAATGACGACTTCAGTATGTACACTAAGGAGATTTATCCAGTGTTACTAACTTTAAATAAATCTAATACGAAGAATAAACGCTGCCTTTTCGTTGATCTTGATATCTTTATCATTAATAGGAAGCTTAATACCAATATTTATGATAAAAGAGATGAATTTTCATTTCCTATTGTAAATAATTCATTTTTAGATGGTGACACCATCTTATGGTGTTTATATATCTATTGTATATCTATTGTATATGTAACAACGTACTAGATTTTAGCAAAAGAAATCTATGTTTTACTGAAAAATTATTACACAAGGGTTTTCGATATCACAAACTTGTCAAAACATTTACTACATCTTATCATCGGTACAAGGACATTATTCGTAAATATAAATCAACATGCATACATATTATACGTTCAGGTATTTCACATCCAATCCTTTATGGTAATATTCTTTACAAAACACAAAAAATGTAGGCATTCACCTAAAAAGCTAATAAAACCTCCAAACAGACTTATTAGAAGGGATATAGGTTACGATACTGTTGTCAGGTCATTAAAGATGGCATAGTTTGGCTTAAATATTGATTCACTTATAGGGTCTTTCATCGGATATAAACAATGTGACATTAGTTCTAAAACCAGTTGTTTGTATGATACGGGTTATGTTCTTCTCATATATTTTATACTGGTGTGATACTAGCCCCTAACGGGAGGGATTGTACTTAATATTCATTTGATGAAGACATAATCTTTCAATCAGTTTAATTGAGATCTGGAGTTGGAATGTCAGTAGCTGCTAATAGTCCTTCATTAATTTATGTATCATTGTCATTTTGTTTAGTTTCTTTTGTTATCTATTCCCACATCGGGCTCGGACTTCTTTTAAAATGAGTTTTACTGTGCGTATTGTTGTGTATTTGTTTTTTTCTACATTGGCTAGAGGTAAAGGGGGAGGCTGAGATCTCAAAAACATGTTTAACCCCGCCGCATGTTTGCGCCAGTCCTAAGCCAAGTGCCTTTTGCCTTTGTTAGTCTTGTAAGATTTTAATATTTTGGAGTTTAGTATGACGTCCATTATCACTGAACCACTACATATTTTTGTTTAGGTTCTAGCTGAAGCACGCCTCTGAGTGCTCAATTTTCTGGCTGTATTGAAGACCCATGTGTAGCCTTCGGCTGTTTTCCGCTTTTTGGTCGGGTTGTTGTCTCTTTTACACATATCCTTTTTGCCATTTTCCATTTCATTTTGGTTCGTTAGTAGTGAATAATTTGAAATATGTAACTTTTAATGTGTTGTCATACTAAACACCCCCGAAAATATTGGGTTCAGACTTTGCATGAAATTTACATAGTTAGAGGAATTGTTCCGCGTCGTATAAAATACAGTTTTACAAACTTTACTACATACCTTGACCAATATCGTTCAGTTCTTATAACCATGAGATTAAATTTGGACATGACTCACAAATTGTGGTGTTGTGTCGTTTCTGTTTGGAAAATATTCAATGTTACTTCGGACAGAAGCATTTACTGTTTAAATAACTATTATATTTCTCTTATCCAGGACGAAGAGCATCATACAGGTGGAACGAAACTAAATGTAAGCTTTGTTGTTCAATAAAAACAAAATTTATGATATCATTTTCTTATATCGGTTCTTGTAAACAATGTCGACCGAACAAAATGGACTAAAATCATAAGAAAACATGCAGATCATATATTGTTTAGTCAATTGTAATGTACGTGATGTCTATTTACACATTTTGCTTTTTTGGATCCCAATAATCAAAATTACAACAGACAAGAACTATAAACAACTGTCAGACATGCCTTCCAAAATTTTACGGTCGCCATCACGAGTTGGTTGACCGTTATGGAATATACGTTTCACAGATGATATCGGATATGTTCTTTATGTCGTATACGTAACTAGAATCCCGTTCCCTTCTCACGAATGTGACCTACCGAATTATACTTTTTACCGGGTTTCCAATAACATGAGCAACATGACAAGTGCGACTTGTGGAGCCGGATCTGCTTACCCTTACGGAGCACTGAGATCACCCCCCTTTTTGATGGGGTTCGTATTGCTAGGTCTTTAGTTTTCTATTTGGTGTCTTTTTTACTACTATTTGTCTATTTGTCTTTTTCTTTTTTAGCCATGACGTTGTCAGTTTATTTTCGATCTATGAGTTTGATTGTCCCTCTGGTATCTTTCGCCTCTCTTTTATACCAGTGAGAGCTTTTACTAACTATAAAACCAGATCAGGAAAATGGCAGGTTTTTCTTTTGGTTCTGTTGTTTTGTAAAGTCTACCGTTTGATTTTTTCAGTTTGAATTGACACTCATTGTACTGATAATTATAGTCGGTAAACAATGAACAGACACAGTAAAGATTTAATTTAGATATATAAACAACATTCAATACGGTTGAGTCTGTGGATCTACTGAAGATTGGGACATTGATAAAAAGAAATAGTGTCGTCACATTTTTCATATTCCTATCTTTAATACATTGATCACTGTCAATATCATAACAAATATACAGAACAGACCTTGAATTGTACTCGGTGGCCGTAATGTCAAGATCACTGAAATTTATATAAATGTATGTATGTTTAAAAAGTGGATACTGTCGATTCATTTTTTTGGGGGCATCAAGTTAAGCTGTTTTACAAATAAACAGAAAGAAAAGAAGTTAGCAGTTTCCTTTAACTTTTGTCTCCGCTACTAAGATGATGTTCTCTCATTAAATAATTTAATATTTGATGACTATGTTAAACGCATCTATCCCATCGAACAAGAAATAAAGGATACAACAGATACAGTTAAGTCTGCCTAATATCTTGAATTTTATCTAAAATTGGACAATGAGGGTCGGTTGAATAACTTTACGACACTAGAGATGATTTCATCTTCCCATTTCCATGTAGCAACATTCAAGCAGCGATTGCATACTGAGTATATATCTCCCCTTTGATATGATAGTCACAGGCTTGTATTTCCTATCATAATTTCCTTGATAGAGTGTTGCTGCTCACAATGAAGTTATTAAAGCAACAGTTCCATATGTTGAAGCTGAAATCATCCCTTCGTAAATTGTACGGACTTCATCTAATAACGAGTTGTTTGACCGTTATGGAATATCCGTTTCACAGATGATAGTGGATATGTTCCTTATGTCGTAACTAAAATTTCGTTCCCTTTTACGAATGTGACCTGCCGAATAAGACTTATTACCGGGTTTGAACAAACATGAGCAACACGACGGGTGCCACATGAGAGACAGGTTCTCCTGCACTTTCCGGAGCACCTGAGATCACCCCCCCCTTTTCCAAATTTTGATGGGGATGTGTTGCTTGGTCTTTATTTTTCGATATTGTATTTTGTGTACTACTGTTCTTTTTTAGCCATGGAGCTGTAATTTTATTTTCGATTAATGAGTTTGAATGTCCCTCTGATATCGTTCATCTCTCTTTTAGTGAAAAAGTATTTTTTGAGGGTTTTTTATTTCGTGTTTTTTTAAATGTCTGCGGACAAGCCGAAGACCAATTTGTACATGTTATACTTTGTTTGACATATACAAAAGTAGAATAACAAAAATAGCGAAAATTCTAATCGAAAAGTCCCTGAGCAAATGGCAAAATCAAAAGCTGAAATACATCAAACAAATGGATAACAACTGTCATATTCCAGACCTGATACAGACATTTTCGTATTTGTCTTGCGTAAATACAAAATTTAATCCTGGTATTTATAATCTTACTAAAATAGATTTGACATAAAGTCTGGATCATTATTTACTTTTGGAATCTGTCAAGAGGTAGCAGTTGAACAGTTCTTGAAAATTTCTAATGGTACACCCAGAACAGTTTCTGACAGACATATTGCTACCCTACAACAGTTTTGACAATTCTGAACTGAACAGATTCAGACTAAAACGGTTTTTATAATATCTATCCTTTCTAATCTTTATTTGATTTTTTTCTTCAAAACTATATGACATGTCCTGAATTCATGCATGAGCCAAAATTTGAATAATGACATTAAAACACAATAATAACATAAGAATGATAAAACCAGCCTAACCCTGGTATGAAAATAAGATATAACATCAGGATATATTTGGAATAAAAATATTTCTGAGAGTCACTGTGAAAATCACAGTTACGCCTGTAACAATTCGTAACATCCCAAAGAGAGTTTTAACTTGTATAAGTTGTTGTTTTCTTAGTATATTTGATAATAAACACTCAAATTAAAGGAGGTTTATATCCCTTTGATTAAGTTTTATTCGATACAAATAATCAACTTTTTGAGTAATATTTTATCATGATATTTACGTCATATCAGAATTAAAACATATATCACAGACATTAAATTTACAGGGGCACTAGCTACAAGATATATAACAAAAAGAGAAATAAGATTGTTTTGTTCAATCATTAATGAAAGTGAATTGTGAAATAAAAATTCCTTTTTTAACAGCCAGTATGGTTCAATTATGTCAAAATAAGCTAAGAAACATCGATGATGAGTTATTTACTTGCAAGTGAATAATTCGACCTCATTGAATCCGTATTCATGTGACCTTAAATGCAAACATTTAGCCAGAGATGGATTACGCATGAATTATCCTTGTTCAGTTGTTAAAAGAAAACGAATGTCCCCATTGAAAGTGAAACAGAGGTAAATCATTTGATCGAATGATGCGATCCTCAAAAACTCATTCTTATACAGGTAAAAACGATGATTAACATGTAATTTTAACATGTAATATGACATTAACCAGACCTAGAAAAATCAAACTGCACGAGTCCGCTATCTCTTTATATCTATATGTATGTTTATATTGCTTATATGACCATCGGCAGTTTTCGGACGTCAACTAGATCGTTAATTAGATTGCGTCTAGACAATAATACACACGCAATGATGAAACATATTATCGAGCCAATGCCTTGTAAAATGTTGATACTTTTTTATAATTTGGATATACGTTTTAGTATGCTAAAAATTAAATATGAGAATTTGAGTCAAATCGGGGGACATGAATTTGATAGCCAATGCCCCTTTAATAATTCTTGCCCTAATAATTTTTATTGTCAACGGTTACTCGTTTGATAGGTTAACGGACAAAATGACCGAATATCAAATGCAAAAAATCATTATCCGGCCAATCGGACATTTTTCTCACCTGTATTGAAATAAAAAGAAAACAAACATTCTAACATGATTATAGTACTGAATAAGACAAATTATGCAGAACAGTTGTGACTTGATACTATCAATGAATGCATTCATATTAAACTTACATTAATTAACACAAAGACACTTTGTCTAATATCAGCTTTTGACCCAATCTAGAAAAAAAATATTTTGTAAAGATATGAGAAAACATGCGCTCCGGTCATTTTTATGACCCCGCAACAAAGTTGAAGGTGCCATATTGTTTTATCCTTGTCCGTCAATCCGTCATTCTGTCATTCTGTCATTCCGTCATTCCGTCAATCCGTCATTCTGCAACAAACCATTATACGGACTTTTTTCTAAACGCCTTCAGATATTGGGCTGATTTTTAGTATGTGAGTTAACCATGATAAGTTACAGATCTAGTTTAAGTTTTGTTCCGCTCCGCTAATTGTGGCCGAAATTACGGGCTATGGACTTCGATAAATTGTTGAAAATTACAATTATACCGACTTTTTGTCTAAACCCCTTCAGATATTGGGCTGATTTTTGCTATGTGAGTTAACCATGATGAGTTACAGATCAAGTTTAAGTTTTGTTCCGATCCGCTAATTTTGGCCGAAATAAAGGGTTTACGACTTTGAAAATTGTTGAAAATCACAGTTATACGGACTTTTTTTCTATACGCCTTCAGATTTTGAGCTGATTTTTGATATGTGAGACTACCATCATGTTTGTGTCAACATGTGTTGTTGAAATTGCAGATTTTTCAACTTTTTGAGACGGGGCCATTCGTGTCATTTCGATACATCTAGTTGTATCTTGTCGGGAGTTGTCTTATAGCAATCATACCACATGTTGTTTTATTTTTATATTGAACCCTTTGTAAGCTGATCAAATGTTACGATTTAGTTGTTGACTTCGTTTTAACTTGATATGAAGTAATAGTAATAAAATTGAGAATGGAAATGGGGAATGTGTCAAAGAGACAACAACCCGACCATAGAACAGACAACAGCAGGAGGTCCTTAACAGGTCTTCAATGCAGCGAGAAATTCCCGCACCCGGAGGCGTCCTTCAGCTGGCCCCTAAACAAATATATATACTAGTTCAGTGATAATGAACGCCATACTCAACTCCAAATTGTACACAAGAAACTAAAATTAAAAATAATACAAGACTAACAAAGGCTAGAGGCTCCTGACTTGGGACAGGCGCAAAAATGCGGCGGGGTTAAACATGTTTATGAGATCTCAACCCTCCCCCTATACCTCTAGCCAATGTAGAAAAGTAAACGCATAACAATACGCACATTAAAATTCAGTTCAAGAGAAGTCCGAGTCTGATGTCAGAAGATGTAACCAAAGAAAATAAACAAAATGACAATAATACATAAATAACAACAGACTACTAGCAGTTAACTGACATGCCAGCTCCAGACTTCAATTAAACTGATTGAAAGATTATGTCTTCATCATATGAATATCAGGCACAATCCTTCCCGTTAGGGGTTTAGTATCATACCATCATAACATATATGAGAAGAACATAACCCGTGTCATGCCAACAACTGGTTTTTAAATAAATGTGTCTAGTGCCGATGCAAAGACCCTATAAGTGAATCAATATTAACGCCAAAATATGCAATCTTTAATGACCTGACAACAGTATCGTAACTATATCCCTTCTTAATAAGTCTATTTAAAGGTTTTGTTAGCTTCAGAGGTGAATACTGACATTTTTGTGCTTTATAAAGAATATTTCCATAAAAAATTGGATGTGAAATACCTGAACGTATAAGAAGTCTTTATTCTCATAAACCCTTTTGCAATAGAACAGAGATAAACATACATATAGGTGTGACAACACACGTATTTATACATGTTATAACAATATCATTCGCACAAACATACGAAAAGCGCATATACAACAGTGTTCAGTAATTATCCACATACACATATATTATTATGTGCTATATATACAATAATGGAGTTGAGGTGTTTGTTTTTGCCAGCGAACAAATAATTAATCTATGTATTTATTTTGCTTTTATTAAATCTACAAAGTTTTCAAATTTAAACTTGTCTATGCAACTCTATCTTTTTTTATTTCAAAATTTGGTCAGCGCCCCATAATATCGTCTTTTCTATTTTTGTCTTATCAATTAATTTCAAATGTGTACGTACATGTAAAAACTGCAAATCATCAACATCTACATGTGAGGCTTGATCACATTACATATGCAATGCTGATTAAAAAAAAATGAAATGTAAACTTACTGTATACTGGTTGTTTGAGTATCACGCAGACATGAATTACGTAAACTGGTTTGGAAAAAGGTGCAAAAATACACTGTAATACATCATACCATATAACCATATGCCGTGATAAAGTATTGCAAAAATTTCTTTGTAAGGTTGATTGATTAATTATTTGTTGTCTGCATAACGCCAAAAAAAAGCTGTGAAAAATATTTAATGTATGTTAAGGATGAGAGATAAGGATTGACTGGCCTTTATTGCAACAGGCTAATCAAGAACCCCGCGAAAATTTGCTGCAAGGGTTATATTAACGTTCAAAGAGCGGATCATTTTTTCTTCTTTTTTAGACCATATTTCTTTATCCCAAACACTCTAAGGATACATTTTCTTTGAACATTAACTTTAATACCGGCTCTTTCATAGAACTGATTAGATAGTTCAAACATAAAACTTATTCTGGCTGTTTCATTGTAGATCTCAGCTCTGTTTCATACACCTTTACTCTGTACTTGGAGTACAAAATTTATACTTTGAACAATAAATCTTGTTTTCTTAGTTTGTTTTAGACAGTCGTGGTCGACATTTTCATGAACGCACAGGTGTAGGCTGTTCTGCAAAGTAACTTTTCAAGAACTGTTAACAGTTCCATGATATATTATTCTGACAATTAGAAAAAAAAATTCAACACTGACCTTAATCAACTTTATGAGTTTAACCATACTTTATTTTCGTAAACAAATGCAGCTTATTTGAATTATTGGATTTAAAAGCAATACCATACAAGACAGCTTCAAGACTGTAAAGAATATATTTTGTTTGATTAAATTTTAAACTGTCTTTCAGTTATTCGATATCGAAAAGTTTATCAACTCTAAAGGACAGGTATCGTTTGAAGATGGTAAAAAGGAATCCAGCATTTGTTCAAGTAAGATCATTTTTGTATACACTAAACAAGTTTACAGCCATATAAAAAAGTACTTAGTATGATTAAAAATGAATGAACATGCAGTTGTCAAACGTCTACAATTAATGATGATGTAACAACAAATACAAATGACAGCCCTTTGTTGATAGAATTAAAGTTTAAAAAAAGAATTAGTGCTATCAAGTAATTGGTTGTCAACGGGTTTGTACTTGAATGAGCAATACGATCGGTGCCATATGTCGGGCATAATCTCTAGTTCTACTTTCATTTGCATATCTTCAGATTGCAAAATAAACCAACCAGACAACTGGTTCATTTTAGCTTCTGCGATATAATTTGATGAAGTTCCGCCTGGCCTGAATGTACATTTCAACTTTTTTGTTATATCAAATCGATTTCATAACAATAGCGCTGATTAGTTGATAATTTATGTATTATGTCATACATGTGATACATTATCCCTTAAATAGCTGCCCAAAAAAATCCCCATCATTATATTGAGGTTCATGAAAACTTTTCTAAATCTCATATTAATCTGTCGTTGGTTTTGCTGCAGTACTAGCAATTATATGTTAAAAGAAATAACAATGTCTGAGCCGATTAAAAAAGGTACCATCATATTAAACAAGTCATATATAATTAACAAAGGTTCTCGATGACAGCAACACAACATCGTGAAGAAATATTTCTATACCATTATAAAATTTCCTATCATACTTCTTACTAATGAACACTAGACTGTTCATTTATAATACAATGAATATAACAGGATATACTTCGAGCGCTTACACGGGTACATATGCGCTGAAATGGTTATTTCACATCTAAGAACCCATTGCTAACACCAGAAACAAGAACAAAATTGAAAGGTGCAACGTAAAACACACGTATTTCAAGTGATTAAGGAATGAATAAGTTACAGGGTATCAGTCGAGTGCTGAAACAAATACATACGGGTTTATAGGATTATTTCACATCTAAGAACCCATGGCAAACACCAGAGACAAGAAAAAAATAGAAATAATTTGATGAAAGGTGCAACGTATTACAAACGTATTAAAGGCGAACAAAGAACGATGCCTGTATCAAGTCAGGAATATGACAGTTGTTATCCATTCGTTTGATGTGTTTAAGCATTTGATTTTGCCATTTGATTAGGAACTCTCCGTTTTGAATTTTCATCGGAGTTAAGAATTTTTGTGATTTTACTTTTTACTTATCAGTCGTGCGCAAAACCCGGGTACCTTCGCTCTAACATTGTAGTTTCACCTCCACAAACCGGAAAGTGTAACCAGAGATAAGAAAGTAAAGCAAGGAAAATGGTGACATACAAAAATCGAATAAGTAACGAATTAAGAAGAAGGAATAGATAAGGAATAATGAATAAGTAAGGAGTTAGGAATAAGGAATAGATAAGGAATAAGGAATAAGTAACGAATAGGTAACGAATTAGGAATGAGGAATACGTAACGAATAGGTAACGAATTAGAAATACGGTATAAGTAACGAATAAATAATAAGGAAAAAGTAACCAACTTGACTACCCGGCCTCTCATTCAATAATTTGTGCCAAAGTAAGAACTATTATATGTACTTACATGCATCGATTTTTACTCAGCAATTCGAGTTCCAGTAGTTTTATTGGTTGTAAATGGTGATTTTGACACACTTAAGCATGTGAAGAAAGCCATATACAACAATATGTCAGTAGTGGTTGTGAAAGGAACTGGTGGAGCTGCTGACCTTATTGCTTCATGTTTAGAAAGGTATTTTATATAACAAAAGTTATTAGCCGAGTATAAATTTAAAATAAGTCAATAAAGATGGTTTAATGAGGTCAATTTAGAAGTACTTCAACAATTTCAAATATCAACAAGTCTGAAAAGACCAATTTTTGTCTTGATTTGCATGAACAATAAACTCGACATTATCAAAAAGTATTACGTATGTCTTACTCTTTCTTGACAAATTATGAGGTTTATTGTATGGAATTTACTCTACATATTCTTGATATTCTGAATAAGGTTTTAAATTTTTTGACAAATTCTCGACTTTTGAATACTGTTTGAAATTGCACGACAGGTACTCGAAGTTATTATTTTTCTCAGTATGCATTGAATTGTGTCTTGAATTTCCTTGGCAGTTTTTAGCTTTACAAATCATGACCAACATACAAATGCACATGCTAGGCGGTGAAATTGAATTCTTATTAAGACATAAATTGAAGGGAGGAGCAGTGCAGAATTTTAATTTAAATTCTGCAAAATTCTGGGAATATAAATCTTGAAAATATGTCTCACAGCCCTATGATTTGATCTTTGAATAAAAAAGTATTGCATATCAACATTCCATTCTAGGATTTAATTTTTTACAAACCTTCATAGTAAAAGAGGCACAGTTTTAGCCCTAAAGAGGGAGTTCCTATGGGAAATTGCATTATCTATATTAACAGAAATGCAATCTGTAAATATTTATATAAATATGGGTACGTAAATATTTTTTTAATTAAAATTGTAGGTATTTAATTATTGTTATAATTAAAAATGTAGGTATGTAAATATTTTCATAATAAAAAAATATGAGTTTGTAAATATTTTTATCAATACTAAAAAGAGTATTAGGAAAATATTTATAAATACAAGTGTGAATATTATAATGCAAACCAATTGAAATAATTATAAATTTTGATTTTTAGATATTATGAATAATCCTAAATGATTGAAATAGTCTATATTGTAGATTTTTTATTTGTCAAGCATAATATTCAATTCTAAAGATGAATAAGCATCTATTGTACCAAAAAGGTGTTTTATGATTTGCAATGTATTATTGTATCCTAATTCTTCATATTCTTCTAAGTTTGTTTTAGCGGTAAAAGAAATAAGTAGAATATATCATGATAAAGTATTCACACTGACAGGAATGACGAAATTTATTTTGTTGAGATAGTGTTGAGACATATTAAGACATCATTAAGACCGTCAAATATGTGTCAATAATATGTCAAGACTTATCAAAAGGAATTCTAAGACAGTCGTGAGTTGGTCGAAACTAAACAAAAACTTTACAGACTGTCGAGAAAGTTTTAGACTATAGAAAGACTGTGAAGTCGAATAAAATCAAGTAATGACCTAGAGAATCGAGAGCAATGTCTAGAATCGAGGTACTTATCTACGACAAATTTAGACTTTGTCACAAACAGAGAATGTCAAGTAAAAATTCAGGAAAATTCAGGAAACGATTGGTCTTTTCAGACTTTTAGACCTTTGTCGTGTATGCAACCTTTATGAAAATCTTACAGTGTTCATTGTGTATAGATTTATTGAACAGATACATGTTATAGTTATGCTCTTGGCCTATTTGTTAAAAACACATGTAGTATTTGGCGTGGACATTATAACCTACCGCTGTGAATCTTACTGCAAACATATCATAGTCTAGTGTTTGCAGTATTGTTGTTGATGGAGCTAGTAAATTAAGAGGTGATTGTATAGTCCTTTGTATAACGTTATTTTAAATATTAATATATTTGATACTTTACTAAGACCATTTAAAATTGACTTTTTGGACAATGTCTGCTGATTTTCGTTCAAAACAAAACTAAACATGTATTCAATTGAGTTAAATATGCTATAACATAAATAATCCATTATCCCGCCTTGTCTTGTATTTTGACATTGTACAAGGTCACGCCTTCTTGTCCGACAGATTATTACGTCTTAACACGCATTCGCTGGTGTCAAATCAAATGCGGTCCTTTGTCGTTTGTTTCATTGTTAGATTGATTGTGTAGTCATTTTTAAATTAAGATGCACCCTATGTTGAACACTCTCACTTTTGTAAAGATCGTGTAATTACCCAAAGACAGCAGGGTAATAATTAAACCCACTAGACGACTAATCAGTGTCAAACCATTAGAAAGATTAAATCGAAAGCATTAAAAAAAAAATAATGTTTCTAACATTTCAACATTTCAATTGCAATTAATCTACAAAAAATGACCGTATCAATACTTAGTCAAAATAGGGCTATTCACTATTGGAAAAGCTGCAATGCCATCTTCTCTTTATTTATATGTTGTCGTTTATTAATAGCTGTGAAGCATACTCGTTTTTCTTTATGGTAATATATCCATAGGGTCATTGGGTTTCCCTTTTAAACTGATTTCCAATGCATGATGAATTTTGTTGACCTTGATTTATTTAAACATATACTTTTTATTCTCAGTTTTAGTATGCATAAACTGAAGAGAGAATTACCAATAATGTTTAACCGACGTTTCACACACGACTATTTCACGAAAATAGAGAAAAAAGTCAAAAGAATTACCGAAAAGGACTGGATGGTATATATTCCTTTAAAAAACAGAAAGAAGTCTAGTACAAGTGTAATGAAGTAAAAATATGATATTTAGTTTAACTCGGCATTGTTCTTCTATCGAACAAGTTAACGTTTCTAAACTAGTTTATCCTAAAATGTTTTGAGGTGTTTAGTTGTCGTTTTGTTATACTGTGCTTTCATAACACAGTTTTAACCTATACATTTTACAATCTTCTATAAGATAGCAAACACGTCATAAATCAGAGATAGAGAATAATAAACACGCAATCAGTTTAATTGAGGTCTGCAACTGGAATCTCAGTAACTGCTAGTAATCTTTTGTTAATTTATGTAATATTATTATTTTGCCTAATTTCTTTTGGTACATATTCTGACATCGGACTCATAATTCTGAGTTTAACTGTACGTATTGCTGTGTGTTTGCTTTTTCTGCATTGGCTAGAAGTATAGATTGAGGAATGAAATCTCACAAAACATGTTTAACCCCGCCGCATTTTTGAGACTGTCACAAGTCGTGAGCCTCTAGCTTTTGTTAGTCTTGTATGATTTATCTTAGTTCAATTAGATGTTTTGGAGTTAAGTATGACCTCCATTATTAATAAACTAGCACACATGTTTGTTTAGGGGCCAGCCGAAACATGGCTTCGGGTGCAGGATTTTTCGATGTCTTACTTCGGTTAGGTTTTTTGGTCTTTGGTCGGGTTGTTGTCTCTTTGAGACATTTACCATTTCAATTCTTAATTTTGATTATATGTATAACAAATTCCTTTCATTTAATAAGTAAAAATAGTTGGTTTTAAGTTCAATGTATTTGTAAAAATGTCACGATTAACACAATTTAGTGTTATCAAAATGTTTCATATGTTTCATTTTAATCATAAGGTGAAAATCAAAGAGACATTTTGGATGTTTAACCATGAAACGTGCTTTAAATATTTACATTGCAAAAACAAAACCGAAATTATTATTTGAACAATAACACATGAGTTAAAATACAGTAAAACAAATAGAGAAACAGAAGAAAGGGTGTCTCCATCTTCAATACTTTCATAACAAAAAAAGCACAAAAAGCAAACGAACAGCGCTTTAATAACTGTTCTTCATTTTAAATGCAAGGCCTTCAGCACGAGACAAACGTCATGCTCATATACATGCAATTAAAACGGCCCCTATCACCATTTTGAGCGGAATACCTTGCAAAATTATTCGAATAGACTCTGTAAGATGCATCACCACCAAAGCAGGCCCGGTAAAAAAATAAACATACTGGAAATTAGTGCATACTTACAACTAAATAGCTCCTACTCATTGATGTGAATATATATTTATTTAGAATAGATTTAAGTTTTTAATGTATCAAGTGGAAGTTGAAAGACTGGTGATCCTTGTAGATATAGGGCAATTGTTAACAATTTGGCTAACGTTTGACGTTATCTTATTCATATATTTATATGAATACATATTTGCAGTTGCTTGATAACAAAAATGATACCATATACATCCACGTCACTATTTGAATTGGGATTCTACAGTATGTTTATGCATATGTGCAAGATTATTCACACTATAACCAATGTTTTCAGATTACAATATTTGCCGTAAGAGTAGATGCACATTACAATCTATGGGAAAGAATAACAGATGGAATTATAAGAGCATGGTCATTGGAAGAAAAAGGTAAATATTGGTCTTTAAATTACCATTTAAACTATCATTCTATCAATTTAAATGCAAGAAACTTTGATTTGAAGTTAAGGTTAGAGAAACATATTTTTCTGACTGACTTCCTCCATATTTTTGATCAAAACAATTAAAGGAGTCGTTTTCTTAAGTTATACATAATTTTCAACTAATAATGTTGTTATCACATAATACACACAGTCGTCATTAAACATTTTCAATCTTCCAAGTTTTAGACGCTTTTCTACACACACTCCTCTTATAATTTTATTTAAATTGCAAATCAATATAAATAATTGAGGTGAAATTTTAACAGTAAATGCATGAAGCCAATTGACTATTACCTAGTTCAACAAGTCTTTATGATCAAGCTGTCGCGTTTTAGCCATACTCAAACTAAATAAGAACCACACTAACAGTGTTAATTAAGAATACACGAATGAAGATATTATTTTATTGACTGTTTCATTTTTTTTTTCAAAGTATTTCACCTGTTTAGCTTTGTCGATTTGTAGCAGTAAAAATATGATTGCATGTAGAAAAATTGTGATATTTTCCAAAAACATGATTATAAACAAGTTGGATGACAGAACTGTTACGCAACATTTTCCTGATATTTTGCATATACATTGTTTGTTTGTCAAATCTAGTTGTAGCACTTTGACCCAATTGGAGAAACTTGAATCATGACAAATTTATCGCTTTCATTATCGTAACTGATAACACACTTAACGTTCGACAACATTGGGTTTCACAATTAGCACACACATCACACATGTATATTTTCATTTTCATATGTTCCCAAAAGTTCGAAATATATTATCATGAGTAATTTGACATGTATCTTTTGGATTATTGCTGAAGCAGATCTGCCCATGACAGAAGACGCATACACTGTCAATGCACCATTATTTTGTCTCTTTTTGAGATGTTAACCTCATTTAACTACTGTCTCATTAATTCCTGAGATTGGAAAGACCTAGGAATTTCTTTGAGGCAGTAAAGATGAAAATACTCATATCCTTGTATCACAACCACACACGGCCTTATATGGTAAAACCCATGCTATAGAGAGGAATTTGTTTGGATGAAGATGTATAAATTCGAATTCGTTCTGAATTGGGACATTAAATACTAGTATATTGCCGCATGTTAGTAAAGTGCAACTCTTTATGCACGTTAAGAACTCTATGACCGTTCTGCATAGTTAATTTTCTGTCGCCGTACAAAATACCATAATTTCAAGTGGCAGTCGAAATCCTACTGGTATTTAGGTTAATCGACTACAGAAATTACCCATATGAATTATAAGCAAATTGTTCTCGTCTTAGAAATGCATGATATATTTGCTACTGAATGCAAACACACAGCAATCAGTCAATTAAAAAACAAACTTCTTTTTCACTGCTTCATATGTTTCACTTCACTGTTTTGAATCTTGATTTTTTTTTAAAAGTTTGTAAATGTTGTTCTATTGAAAGAACACTTTATCCTTCTGCCATTTTGACAAAATTATCATAGATTTACTATCTAAAAATACTGAGCCAGTGCAAACTTAAAAGAACATTAAACGTTCGTTTTCTCGTTTGAATTGTTTTACATTATCATTTCGGGGCCTTTTATAGATGACTATGCGGTAGGGGCTTTGCTCATTGTTGAAGACCGTACGATGACCTATAGTTGTTAATTTCTGTGTCATTTTTGTCTATTGTGGAGAGTTGTCTCATTGGTTATCATACCACATCTACTTTTTTTATATATATCGTATGACATACAAACTTTACCAGTTGGTTTTTGAAAAATAAATTAATTCGACCGAACCATTTAATATAATCTTTGTAAAATGATGTCTTTTGTCCACTGTTTATCATATGCATCTCAACAATATCCCTTTTCTACAAATTGCCTAAAACTGAACAGGCAATTTGTTGAATTTTGTTTTAAAATGTCATTCATTTTACAAAATGACTAGGTATTTTTAGTCATTTTACAAAATGCCTAAATTTTTAAAATTACTGAAACATATTTATATTGTTATCGCTGATTTGATTAATATTTATATGTATATATGTGTTGTTTCTTGTTAAAGATGACTCAAGTAATGGAGGCGAATACATTTCGAAGTACGTTGCAAACATTGATGGTCTAACAAGAGAAGAACTTTTTGCTGGTTACAGAATAAATACTGCAGATGAACGAAAGGGCAAAAAGGACGAAGACGAAAACAATCGACTGCAAGTACGTAATAACAATTGGACTTGAAATAAGGATATGCTAGATTCAAAATCAGCCTTCAGTCATATGAAACTAACCTTATTATTAAACCTGACGAAAATTGTACAACCTACTGCAGATGGGTTAATCACACTCCAAGATTTACATGAAACTGTACCGCATAGGCCGATTAAAATTATTTAAATTATCCTGCAGCTAATATAGCTCTCTCTCGGAAAGGTTCACGGGAAAGTTTACATGTAATAAACAAATTGTGTCGCTCTTAAACGCTTCCGTACAACATTCAAAATACTGCTTTAACATGTTTTTGCCAGGTTTCATAACGAGCAGACAACAATGAGCTATATCTCTCTCTCTCTGCCTTTTGATTGTATTTAAACTATTTTCTCAAGCTTTGACAACTGACTTGGAAACAAGTTATCGTGCTCTTTCGTTTTATTAAAGTCCTGATTTCCCACATAATGGCAATTATAGTAGTATATCGCTGTTTTATAGTCATAAATTAATTTAATTGAAACAAACCCGGATCACAAACTACAAGTCAGGGAAACGTATCACCTATGTTCTTTCCTTTAAATTTTGTTTACTTGATGTATTTGTTATTAAAATCATGGAATTAACGTAATAAGCCAAGACCTTTCAAATTGGTTATAAAATCGTCTCTTTTCTTAGTATTTTTGTGACCTAGGTATAATCAACACAGATCACATGTTGAGACTTTTATATAAAGAAAGAATAGAAGTCATTATATCTTGATGCACAATATAGATTCTACATATATATGCTTGACAGTTTAAAATACTAAAGTGATGGCATTAAAGGTCCGTGTATATTTGCGTCCATTCGTTTTTCATTTTGGAATATCAAAAACAAAAAGCAAAAAACGAGAGTGTTTTAATTTTCGTTTTTGATTTCTCAAAAACCAAAACGAAAAACAAAAGTGTTTTCATTTTTCGTTTTTGATTTCTCTTAAACCAAAACGGAAAACGAAAGTGTTTTCATTTTTTGTTTTTGATTTCTCTAAAACCAAAATGAAAATCAAAAGATTTCACTAAACAAGAATTTTGTATTTAATTTTAATTGTTTCTCGCTTAATAATGTACAATTTTTTCATTTCTTGTTTCACAGTCGTTGATAGTAAATAATGCCAATGTAAACACCCCGGTGTTCTTTCAACATAATGTACACAAAATAGACCGCCTGACTTATGAATTGAACTACGGTGATAAATGAATCAAAGCCTTTCAAATTACCTTGTTTATATCTTTAATAAAAAATAAATTATTATATTAAAATATTGAACGAATCATAAATTTAAATTGTACAATATAATATTATATAAAGATGGTACAAATAAAAAGATTGATTACAACATCACATTAACAAGGGAGGTTACTACTTTTAAAAACTTATAAGAAAACTACCCCGGACGTTAAAGTATACATGCACAGTCACTGTGGTTATCAGATCTTTAATCGAAGATAATGTCGACGGATGCAAAAGACTTTATCAATCTGAACAATAAGGGTGCGTGATCTTTACTTTTAAATTTAGAAAGGTTGATCTCAGATGCTTAGAATTCATGACCATAGTCCATTATATGAACATTCAGGACTATAATGTGTTTTGCTTGATCAGTTGATTGAAAAACAAATTTCTGCAATTTCACAATGCAAACCGGGATTAACATTCAATTATTTTGCCATTCGGAGCCTACTCGGTATTAGTTTTGCTTATTTTTGAAAGCTTTATGGTGACCTTAACTAGAGCCTGGGTGTGGATGGGGGTTTACGGAATAGAGAATAGTGGGGAAAAAATATGAATAATAGAGACAATGGACCAAGAAATAAAAAAAAAATAGAATAATGAGGTGTTAAAATATAAAAAGAATAGAATAATTGGCAAAAGTATAAAGATATAAACATGATAAAGAATAGAGAAAAATGGCCTGAAACACTGATTAAAGAATAGAGAAAAATGGAATAGAATATCAAAGAATACAGAAATGAAGAAATACGCGTCCAGACCATCATACTAGTTGCCTAAACCAACGTTATTTTGTCTCCGGTAAAATGTTATTCGTTTTCATACGTTTTCTTTTAATTTCTATGCCTATCAATTAAGACACGAGCTTTCATAATTTGCCAGCTTATTACATTATAAAAAAGACTAAGCCGAACATCACTCTGGATTTTTACTCAAGTAGACCTCAGCTACCCACCCTACCACACCATTACCGAAAAAAATATACGGCAATACTTTTGTCCGCACTAGGTGCAAAGGGAAGCTGGGTACCTGAGGTCTTCTGGAAAAAAATCCAGGGTGTAGGATAAAGCAAAACATTGTAATCCACATAGCCAAGTGTGTGGCTGTTGTTTTCAGGGTATGAATGGTTCTTTTCCTCGTTGAAGACCCTCCAGCTACTTTCAAGATGAAGAACAGGAATAAAAGCCCTGTTCCTTGATAATTTGTATTTTTTCTATGTATTGTGTGCGATTTTGCCCCATGCACATCTCTTTATTTTCTATTTTAGGGCCTAAACACGGCTCAATGCAAGTTTAGCCCTTCAGTATTAAAGGTCATATGTTACATTATTGTTTCGGAAAAGAGTGAATTTGGTACCTATTAAAACGTTTAAACCCGCTGCATTTGTTTGATCCCGTTCTAAGTCAGGAACCTGATGTTCAGTAGTTGCCGTTTGTTGATGTGGTTCATAAGTGTTCTCGTTTCTTGTTTATTATATAGATTATACCGTTGCATAGTTTTCCCGTTTGAATGGTTTTGCACTGGTCATTTTGGGGTCCTTTGTAGCTTGCAGTTCCTTGTGAGCCAAGGCTCCGTGTTGAAGATCGTACTTTGACCTACAATGGTTTTTCTTTTACAAATTGTGACTTGGATGGAGAAATGTCTCATTGGCACTCATACCACATCTTCTTATATCTATATATGGTCTTTTTAAGTGAATTGGGAGATTGGGATTTCTAGCTTTAATCTCACCCATGTCAGCTTTTTATTTGTATTTACAGAAAAGAGAGCTAGTTTTGTATTCTTTAATATACTGTAACAGTTTAATTTTCCATGAAAAAAGGACAGTTTTTTCTATGTCCAGTAGCATCGTATCATATCTGGACATCGACTGTTGTCTGCTCTATGGTCGGGTTATTGTCTCTTTGACATATTCCCCATTTCCATTGTCAATTTTATTATCGGTAGGCATGTAAAATTGCCAAACCATACACGACCGTTCATTAGTCATCGTAGATCTATTCCAAGTTTTAATAAGTCTTCACAAAGCAGAAAAGGAACTTTTACAACAAGGAATATTACACAACTGAAGCCATAGTCATAAAGATCGATTGACTGATTGGTGTTCCTTTAACGTCGCCGCAGAACATAAAATTATTACCTGATATTCATTCTCAACATCTTCAATCTCAATTGTTCCCAAGGAAGCAACCATTTGATTCTCTGGGGTGGGGCAGGAATTTGTACCCGAAGTCAATATTTTTTTTAACCCAGACTGAAAAACATGCCTTTATCCATGGCCACACACAAACACAATAATATTTTCAAGATTTGATTAAAATTTTTTTTTTTTTACACTTTTATATGTTTATGTTGTTTTGAAATATTAATTTGACTTGAATTTATACGAATTTACTAATTATACATGTTTATACCAAGCCAAGTCCGTTTATATCTTATTTCTCGTCTGACTATACAAAAGGCCAGGAGAGCTTTGGCCATCATTTGTCGTCTTTGATAGATATGGTTGACTGATAAGCCGTCTATATAAAGTAATGGGACAATGGCATGAAGACATCACCAAATCACCATATACAATACACAAACAGACACCTAGAGCTTACCATATGGTCTTCAACTACCCACCAACAGACAGTAAGCTCTGGTTGGCCTTAAACACAAATCCAAGGGCACAGCAAAATGAGAAAATATCCAATTAAAACTGGGTGACCTGGGAGGAAAACATTGGAACTTTCCTAAGAAATACAAATTTTACCCCCCCCCCTCTCCCCCCACTCCCCCCTCAACATTTTAATAAGGAGATGTGGTATGATTGCCAATATGACAACTATTCCCAAAGTTCAAATGAAGTGGATGTAAGCAATTATATAAAGGCAACCGTACTACCTTCAACAATGAGAAAAAAACCAGTAGGGTGTAGTCGGCTATGAAAGGCTCTGACATGAAAAATATGAAACAGTTCAGTTGAGAAAAAACGGCCAAATTTATAACACAATAAAACGAAAAACAAATATGACAGACATCAACAAACGACAACCATTGAACTACAGGCTCCTAACTTGGGACATGCACATACAGTATGTGGCAGGGTTAAACATGCAAGTGAGCGCTTAACCCTCCCGTTAACCTGGGACGAGTTTTGTTACAGAACAACATAAGAACAAACTATAAATATCAGTTGAAAAGGGCTTAACATATCAGATCGATACAAAACAGAAAAAAACATCTAACAAAAGCACAGACCGGACGTTGCATCCTTAACAAACAAAAAAGGACACAAAGTACAGATCTGAGAGTAATCGCAGTACTGACAGCTAGTATAAAGCCAATAACAACTAATACAAAAATCATGTATCTAAGACTAAAATATTAATCAGTACACATCCAACATCCAATGGATTTAGTGTAAAGACGTCATTAACAGTCAGAGAAAGACATGACCTTGTGCAATGCCAAATCATAGGTATCAACAGATTGTAGTACCTTGATGTGTATAACAATAATATGTAGTATAATTTTAAGTTACTGATAACAAAATTAATATTTATACCAATAAAAACAATATTCAAAGATCTATTTAAAGTGTTCAATTGGTAACCTTTTAAAATAAGTTTATTTAAAGGATTGATAAGTTTACCCTGATCGTTTTTAATTCACATGCATACAATTTCTATTTATATTATTATTGATAAATACAATATTGCAGAAGTAGTGGAAATAGGTATACAAGTGAGGGAAGTTGTTTGTGACTTCAGGGAACTTTATTTGAATATGCCTGTTATGGTCTAATTGAGATTTACAAGACCTTCATTCAATTTCAGCACATTTTGTGAATGTATGTCCCATTTATAGGCATTATGTTTTTCGGTCTGTGAGTCCGTTTGTTCTTCAGTTCATCCGTCTGTTCCGGTTCAGGTTAATGTTTTTGGTCAAAGTAGTTTTTGATGAAGTTGAAGTCCAATCAACTTGAAACTCAGTACATATGTTCCATATGTTATGATCTTTCTAGTTTTAATGCCAAATTTACGGTCCACTGGACATAGAAAATGATAGTGCGAGTGGGGCATTCATGTACTACGGACACATTCTTGTTCAAATCCTTTATTAAAGAAGTTAGTAAATTTACTTCAGATAAAAATACTAAATTAGACGAACCAATCTAATTAAAAGATATATCTCTGATTTCGTTATACTTATATGACTTTTTTGTATGAATTTTAATAAGATTACTGGACAAACGCGTTCAATCTTTGGACTTAATTCTTAACAATTTTACCGAGCGGAGCGAGGCGAAAAAAATAACGTCTTTCAATCCAAATTTTATATGTATGCTATACACACAAATTTATTGTTTAAACTTGGTAATCAGTTAATCTAAAATACAGTCCTAGATAATCAAATAATCATGAAATATTTGGTCTAGTAATCAAAGAATCACAAAAAAAAAGGTCAAGTAATCACATATTCAAAAACCCCATGAGGAATCATTAAAGATGACATATTTTTATATTGATATTGATTCACTTATAAGGTCTTTGCATCGGAAATAAACTAATTCATTCTAAAACCAGTTTTTGGCGTAATACGGGTCATTTGTAATGTGAAGACGTGAATGAAAATGCGGAGTTTGTGAGACCAGGTTCAAGCAAGCAGCCACTCGCTAGCAGCCACTTCGCTAGTAGCCAGTTTTCAGATGTTTATATAAACCAAAATGTTGCATAAAATTCAAACGTACTTATTATTTAAATGTTGGCAAAATTGCACCTTTGTGTGAAATAGCTTTTCATATTATCGGCATCCTGTCAAATAGTTCATGAAAAGTAACAATTGTTCTGCATTAGAAGAAAAAAAAGTTGCACTCGTGCTTTAACTTTTTTTTTGCCACACAAAACTGTTTTGACAAAACATTCTACTTCTGAAACAGTTGATTTCGCTTACTTATGATTGGACAAAAGGTCTATTTTTTGTACTCAAAGTATGGTGGGCAAGGAAATTATTTATTAGCTTTAAAAAATAATCCGTGCTATACCCAAACTGGGAATTTTGATCAAGTAGGCGCTAGGTCTCTAGCTTACGTTTGCACCTAGTGCGGAAAAAAGTATTGCCATAGAATTTGTGTTTGTTAACTTTTCGGTAAGGGTTGGGTAGGGTATCTGACCTCAACTTTGGACCTACTTTAGAAAAAAAACTAAGCCGAAAAATACCCTGTGTTTTTTTCTACTGTAGACCTCAGCTAATAAGCTTCCCTTTGTCTTAGTGCGGACAAAAGTATTCCTTAGAATTTTTTTTTATTAAATTTTCGGTAAGGGTGGGGTTGGGTGTCCGCGGACCCCAACTTTGGACCTACTTAAAAAAAAACTAAGACGAATAACACCCTGGATTTTTTTCTCCAGTAGACCTCAGCTACCCACTTCCCTTTGCACCTAGTATTGCCGTAGATTTTTTGTATTAACTTTTCGGTAATGGTGTGGTAGGGTAGGTAGTTGAGGTCCACTTGAGTAAACATCCAGAGTGATGTTCGGCTTAGTCTTTTTTCATAATGTAATAAGCTGGCAAATTATGAAAGCTCGTGTCTTAATTGATAGGCATAGAAATAAAAAAAAAACGTATGATAACCAATAACAATCTACCGGAGACAAAATAGGCAACTAGGATGATGGTCTGGATACGGGGTTCTTCATTTCTGTATTCTTTGATATTCTATGCCAATTTTCTCTATTCTTTAATCAGTGTTTCAGGTCATTTTTCTCTATTCTTTATTTCCTAATACTTTTTGCCAATTATTCTGTTCTCTTTATATTTTAACACCTCATTATTCTATTTTTTTTTTATTTCTTGGTCCATTGTCTCTATTATTCATATTTTTTGCCGTATATTCTCTATTCCGTAAACCCCCATCCACACCCAGGCTCTAGTTAAGGTCACCATATAACTTTCAAAAATAAGCAAAACTAATACCGAGTAGGCTCCGAATGGCAAAATGATTGAATGCTAATCCCGGTTTGAATTGTGAAATTGCGGAAATTTGTTTTTCAATCAATTGATCAAGCAAAACACATTATCGTCCTGAATGCTCGTATAATGGACCTTGGTCATGAATTCTAATCATCTGAAATCAACCTTTCTAAATTTAAAAGTAAAGATCACGCACCCTTATTGTTCAGATTGATAAAGTCTTTTGCATCCGTCGACATTATCTTCGAGTAAAGATCTGGTAACCACAGTGACTGTGCATGTATACTTTAACGACCGGGGTAGTTTTCTTATAAGTTTTAAAAAGTAGTAACCTCCCTTGTTAATGTGATGTTGTAATCAATCTATTTATTTGTACCATCTTTATATAATATTGTAATGTACAATTTAAATTTATGATTCGTTTAATATTTAAATATAATAATTTATTTTTTATTAAAGATATAAACAAGGTAAATTGAAAGGTTTTGATTCATTTATCAGCGTATTTCAATTCATAAGTCAGGCGGTCTATTTTGTCTACATTATGTTGAAAGAACACCGTGGTGTTCACATTGGCATTATTTACTATCATTGACTGTGAATTCGAAACAAGAAAGGAAAACATTGTACATTATAAAACGAGAAATAATTAAAATTCAATACAAAATTCTTGTTTAGTGAAATCAAAAACGAAAAACGGAAACACTTTAGATTTTCATTTTGGTTTTAGAGAAATCAAAAACAAAAAATGAAAACTCTTTCGTTTTCCGTTTTGGTTTTAGAGAAATCAAAAACGAAAAATGAAAACACTTTTGTTTTTCGTTTTGGTTTTTGAGAAATCAAAAACGAAAAATGAAAACACTTTTGTTTTACGTTTTGGTTTTTGAGAAATCAAAAACGAAAAATGAAAACACTCTCGTTTTTTGTTTTTTGTTTTTGATATTTCAAAATGAAAAACGAATGTACGCAAATATACACGGACCATTAAACCTTTGGTTAAATGGGTGCAAGTTTTATTTATCTAATTAATGTTGGACTTTTACTTATGTTAATGTTTATATTCATACATATTATACTTCTTGAATTGTATAGGTATGCTATGATATTACTCTTTCCCATTTTTAGAAAGTATATATGATCGCATTTCTTGGTGAAAATACAGAAACCATAAGACACGTTCTAACAAATAACACTTATTTCTGCTTGTCGAAGGAAACCTTCAAAGAAATATGGAAACAGGTAATATCATATTTGTTGTATCAATTGTATAATTAAAGGTTTCGTTATGAGTGATAATAGGAAACCGCTTGATCCAGTTCGAGGCATTTAATTTCATATATTTAGTAAAAAGAGCATATTGCGTTTTTAATCAAATAACGAGAGTAAACATTAAGCGATATTCACTTCTTACGAGTTATTTAACATATTTCTTATATTGTTAACACTATATTTTTATATTTGATAAGCATGGCTTCGTATGCAACATAATGTAATAACATTTGCAAAATTCAGGTATTCGGAAGAAAATTAGGGGTGTTTGTATATAATTGAAGAAGTGACATGCATCCGTTGCAATGGAAGAAAAGTATTTCGTTTGATCAAGAAAAACAGCAATGACAAAAATGGCGTATTGTTCTTTAGATTTTACAAGGTCATTGCTGTATTTAAAGGAACAGTTGCAATATCAAATACAGATTCTTGACAGACAAATGAATTATTTTTTTGTTTTTTTTTCGTATCACCTTTTCGTTTCAAACTTCGTTCACCGTGAGAAAAGAAATAACTCTTCGTGCTTTAAAAAGATAACAGGTCATCAATAAGAGAATTGAAATATATTGGAATCCAAAATTTGTTCAATCAGTTTTGAAATGCAATGTTAGTCTCTAAGCTTAAGTTTTTCTTGTTGTTGTTCTGATTATAAAACTAGTATTTACCCTGTTCAGTCGAACACTTTTTACTGTAAGAGTTATCTCCTCAAACACTGTTTTGCTTGTGTGCACATCTCATTGGCAATCGAAAAGGTTACGACAAATTTATTTCACCATTTTGCTCTTCATATCCTCAGGTTCTTAAGAGTATCCTGACCGAAACGGGCCGTTTATATATGAGAGTTATTCCCCTGTTTGTATTTTTGATATACAAAATGTAATTGTTACTGGTAACCCATAAGTGATAGAGACCTAGGGTATTTTGATTTGAGGTCCTTGGACCAAAACTAAGATGAAAAGGTCAAAGTCAAAGGTCAAGGTCATGTTTTTAATTTTAATATTTGCTTATTTTCACTTCTTTTCAGAAACCGTATAAGATATCGACAAATAATTTTAACTAAATTGTTGGTTGCGACATGTCGTAACACATACATTTTGTATGAAATGGGTGCGTAGACATTACATGAGAGTTTTAGCGCCTCATATATTTAGAATTATGCGTAAAGTAATATAACTCAGTAACCAAATATAATAAAGACCTAGGGTCCTCTGAGTTAATGTCATTGGTTTATGAGTTTGAAATTTAGTTCAAGGTTAAATGTAAAATTGATGTTCTAAATTTGGACCTTTGTTTTAGATTCATATTTATACATGATAAAGCCTTCGGATCTTTTGCATTAGGTTAGTAGACATATAACCTTGAAAATGTCAACCAGAAGTTACCTTTTTAAAATCTGGAAGTAGCAATTTATCTTCCATAGTTAAAGCAAAAGTATATGTAATCTATATAGTTTTAGAAACACAGAGTAAAATAAGCTATTATTTGACACCGTAAGTAACTTTGATTTAACCAGAAGTGGCTTATTATCTCCCTTAATAGATGAAATAATTTCATCAAGCATTGTATTTTTAAAATCAGTGTGTGATAAGCTATCTTGTAAGCTTGGACATTTTGTTTTTATCAAAAGTTTCTTATGTTAATTTGAGTGGAAGGACCTTCAATTGTTCTCTGCAAAATTGTTTTTTATTATTTATTTTTTTTCATTTTTTTTTCGAAATTGACGCTGGAAATAACACACATATAGTATCTATTGTTTGCCATTTTTCTCTTCATGTATATATCATATACATGTATGTCTCATGATATATTAGGCACTTCAAAAATCGTCTTTTGTGGTTGAAGTTCAACTTGAAAATTCATTAACAAATTATTATAAACAATCGAATCACCAATTACGTCGTAGATTTCATTACCATTTACCGATTTGTTTTGTTCTTTACCTGTTTATCTGTAAAATGGTTCCATATGATAAATTTTCCAAACTAAACAAATTTTCCTCAATCTGTTTAATTTTGACATGATTGAAACATACAACCTTCTTACCCATGTTAACAATTTGTAATTTATGCATTTACTAATATTTACTCCCGCAAAGACACACTCTTAATTTTTGCCTGGACTTTCTTGTTCAACCGATACTGAAACACATACCAGATGTTCTTCAAAACGAAGTAGAAATAAAGAACTATAGTTCAAGGAAAGTAAATAGCAATGCTGATATGGTATCTTGTGGGATAGTCACCCTGTATACGACAATGCCAAATACATATGGATTGAAAACCAATGCATGCTGGCCTGAAACAAATCCGAAGTACCAGATTTTAGATGGAAGACATTCATTATTGAGATTATCTAATTTATCCTTGATAAACTCATCATAGATACCAGGATTAAATTTTGTATTTACGCCAGACGCGCGTTTCGTCTACATAAGACTCATCAGTGACGCTCGAATCCAAAAAGTAATAAATGCCAAATAAAGTACGAAGTTGAAGAGCATTGATAATATATTGTTTAATTAGTTCAGTGTCAAATTTTCAAACAGATATATAATAATACTTTATTCCGAAAGCAATAAAGCTTATAGGATACATACACATAATTTTACATGCACCAATATAAGAATTTTTACAAGATATATATAATATATATAAATATAGAGGTGTGCATGAAAGAAAATATAATACATAATACAAAATATAAATATGAAATACGAGCGGAAAATGATACAATATTTAAGTAAAGTGAGAACAAATATACTATATAATGCAAATAAATTCTAAGTTTTTCTGCTGATTTTAAAAATATACCTAAGTTATTCAATTTTTTAATATTTCTGACAGATAATAACTGGATAAGTTTGTATGTAGAAGGATTTCTCCAATAATACTTTTTTATATACTTTTCTCAAATTTGAGTATATTTATCACATTCAAGTATAAAATGGTATTCATCTTCAAAAGAGCTAGTATTACAATGTGTACATAGTCTATTATGTTGATCAACATTATAATATCTGCCTGTTTCTATGCTTAATATATGAGCTGATATACGATGTTTACAAATGTATGGTTTGTATATATAATTTACAGGTCTATCTAAATAAACTTGCAATGCGTGTGTACTATACATGTATCTATACAAATGACATCTATTTGAATTCTCAAAAACACAGTTACTCACTAATGAATGCACCAAGCATTTTTTTTCTTCTAATTGTGAAAGAAAAATATCTTTACAAACTACACTTTGGTTTAACCAAACATAATTAAATCCATATCTAAACAAAATATTTCTAATTTTACAACATAAGCTTTATTTATCATTCTTTTTAATACAACTTCTGTCATACATCTCATCATAGCAATTCTTTAATATACAATTTTCCGTACTCAAAATTTTAAACCAGTATTTGACCATCCTATACTGCCTTGCAATGTACATTGGCAATCTACCTAATTCACAATAAATCATATTATTTACAGCACTCATTTTGACTTTTAGAATACGTTTTAAAAATCACTTATGAACTTTTTCGATATTTGGTGCCATATCAAAATCCCCATATTTCTGAGCAATAATTCAATATGCTTGCTACATAAGTATCAAATAATGACAACAAAGTTTCAGGGTTAAAATTATCGTCATGTATTTTATTAAATATACTAATCACAGCATTTTTACCCTGTTCTGATAGTTTCTTTTGAGTATTTGCAAAATTACCAGTATAATTAAACAGAATTCGCAAATACATGAACTCGTTACATATATCAATAGCTTTTCCATATAGGGTACACAGTTGGGACACCAATTTTTTCTTAATTATGCTTACTTGAATTGGAAATTGCGTACTTGAGTGTTCGAACAAACAATGTACAATTAAGAATACTAGAACACACCCGCGAAATCGCGGGCATTTAGAGCTTGGTTGAAAGTATGTAAACTGTTGTAGGATGAATTTTTGTAAAAGATCACATGAGGAGGCGGATTTAGAGGGTTTTTCAGGGGGCATGGACCCCCCCCCCCCTCCCCCCCCCCGCTTTGTGGGAAAATTTGTTGATTATATAGGGAATCAATGATGCATGACTGGAGCGGGACCCCTCTTAGAAAGTCAGTGCCCCTCCCCCTCCTTTATGAAAATTCCTGGATCCGCCACTGTTACGTTTTGAGAATTTCAGAAAAGGTATCAAAAGTCATAGGTACTTGGAGACAGGACAATATTTTTAAGCCCTCTCTCTTTTTTCCAAAGTCCGATATTTTTTTTTTTCTGTTGAATTCCATTATTTTCGCGTTTCTGTAGTTTCTGTGTACAATGAAGTCCTATGAACATACGTATATTATAAATAAAGTGTATGTGCTATTAACTATCAATTCCAAGTTTCTTCTCCACGGCGATCACTGCTATAATATATAGAGAGTTTCTATATATTATAGTAGTATAATCATATAGTATACATGCAGATAAACGCGATAATGATTGTCCTGTTCCCGAGGACTTATGAAAATTATTTGTAAGTTTAAAACCGGAAGTCTTGTCTATGACTTAAAAGTCGGTTTGATGACGGAAATAATATCCGGACGTCTTTATTTTCGTTTTTCTCCCAAATTAACCCAAACTGAATAATCATAAGGATAGATGACAAATGCAACTATGCAAGGTACCTATAGGACACAGAGGCATGATGATTTATTTTTTGTAGAAGGAAGAGAAGCGACATACAAAATAAGGTCTTCTCGTTTAATAGTATAAATGGAAGACTCATTCAAACATATAAATGTTTTTTAAAAGTTATCCTACATTCATTGTATTTTTTTTATTTTGTCATTTTGTATGCAGCAAACTCATATTTGCAGTAATGAAGTAGCATGTGCATTGCTATTATTTATGTCTATTTGATTTCAGAAGACTAGTTCAAACAGTAACACAACTATTATTCGCCTACTAAAGGTAAATATTTATTATCTCTTGTTTAATTTAGTTTTAAAAAGAGCTGTTGTCTTGTACTTTTCGAAGTATTGATTTCAATTTTACTACTTCATGCAATTACAACCTTTCTTTCAATAGCTCCCTTGTAGTCATATATTATTTATTTCAGTAGTCACTTGTTCTTTAATTGTGTTAAGTGAATTTATCATTAGTCGTCATACACTAACTATGAACCGAAATATAAAAATATTCCGCGAGGTTTGTGGCCTGTTTTAAAAACAATACATACTAGAGATTTTTACATTTTCATAACACTCCAGGCATTTGCTTGGATGTGGAAGTTATATGATTGTTAACCTTAGTTTTTCTGTAGAGCGAAATATATTGATTGTCATATAATATCTAATCTCTTCCTGGGAAATCCCGTATAGTATTTGTTTTGTTTTCTAGAAATGGGCGTTGAACTGATTCATTTTAAAAGTCTTGCTTCAATTATATTCGAAATATGAAATGCAAATATCCACAATATTCAAATATTTATTTAAAATGGAATCAAGTCTCTTGTTTGTCACATCTTTTCCATATATATTCAATATTTTTACAATTTTTAAATGGCATGGTTACACTCTTTCCAATGTCATTGTGATGGAAAAAGGCACCAAGTAGACATATATTAAATTTTCCATTACGGTTAGCCAACTCGTAATGACGTCCGTAAAATTTTCGCCGGGATGATTTCTTTTCCACATCTTGGATTAATAACTGCATTGCAACCCTCTAGTAGGAATAACATTATAGGCAATTCAAGTTCTGAAATATCCTTTCAACTTGTAAAAATATATACTGCACATATATGCGCTGCTTGGAATTTACTACATTTTAAAGCTTCACAAAGGATAACGTGACATGATACTAGACATATACCTATTCGAAATACATGTAATAAAAGAAAAGTTCATGAAAAATTAAAAAAAAAAACACAATTACTTTAACATAGTCATCCCTCTGCTCGTGAAGGTTATGATACACACATATGTTCTATAGTGTGAGGCCTTCCATTATGGTAGTAACGTTTAAAAGACACACATTTAAATTTAGGTAACAGTATTTTATAGATGTTAAACTATCGTTGGAAATCGATTTGCATGATTCAATTTAGCATCACATAACAAAGGTAATTGAATCGCATGATCTAATATCAGAAGCAAGACTCGGTGGGTCGACATGGTAGACGTGTCTAACAACGTCAAATTCAGACTGAATAGTTTCGGTATTTTCATCAGTGCACAAGTTCACTGATATATATTAAATACAGGCACTCATTGAAATGTGGGTTACTGAGTGACAGAACATCGTAAATACATGTTTATATGAATGTGAAATAAAAAACCCATTTGCAACTGCTTTTTCTGTTGCTCTTTTAGAAACTTCTATATAAAGCCTACTTTAAATGATTACGAAACAAATCGGCTATGGGGTGCATTAAATGAATCAACTAGCTATATAATTACGAACATTTAATGAAATATCAATCAATCAAACTAAACAAATATGCCAAAATGTTGTATAATTACCACCGGTTTATAACTTGTTGAAAATGTGACTGTCGATGCATTGTATTCGAAGATAGGTGTGGGGAAATCGTAAAAAGGTATTGAAACTTCACCAACTATGCCAAACATATATTTATTTTATTTTTTTAACTTTTTTTATGTTCATTTTATTTTAATTTGTTCACAGTTTGCGTTATAGTGATGTTTGATCGTGTTCGCATTGCGCTAAATTTGGTGTGTAGTTGGTTTCCTCAACACGTTAACTTTTGTTGACGACGTATATATTGATTACAAAATGTGTACATTTTATTTAAAATTAGGTTTTGATTACATGCAGTTGATAGTGTAAATTAGGTATGCACACAACTGGGTGGATCGGTTTACGCATAATTACGGGAGAATCATTTTTCGATTAAAGACAATTATTATAATATTATGAATTAATACCAATCTATTGTATCAAAAGACTTAAATTCAACTCAGTGTTGTTATAAAAAATGTTAGCATAGCCTTCTTTACAAGACGATTGACTCGATTCATTAAAAACAGATTCTTTAATACATCCATCACAGCCTGACAAAATACAGAAATAATATATGAGTATGCACTGAAATAACCACTAAAAATGATTATAACAATAAAAACATTCAATAGTTCGGCGTTGAAGAAATAACATTAACGTTTATTTTCAATCATTTCATTGCTCATTGCATTGTGTTACGCTGCTTTATTTCTTTTATCACATTGTGTAATGCAGATTTAATTCTTTTATCGCATATTGTTATGCTACTTTATTCCCGTTATTGTATTTTGTTATGCTGCTTTATTCCTTTATCGCATTTTGTTACCCTTCTCTATTCCTTTTCTTGCATTTTTTTATGCTGCTTTAATCCTTTTCTAGCTTTTTGTTATGCTGCTTTATTTCATTTATAGCATTTTGATATGCAACTTTATTTCTTAAATTGCATTGTGTTACGCATTTTTTTATTTTCCTTTTATAACATTTCGTTACGCTGCATTATAACTTTTATCGAATTTTGTTATGCTGCTTAATTTTTTATCGCTTTTTGTTATATGTATGCTACTTTATTCCCGTTAATCCATTTTGTTATGCTGCTATAGCTCATTATCGCATATTGCTATGCTGCTTTTTTCCTTTTATCGCATTTTGTTACACTGCTTTATTCCTCGCATTTGGTAACGCTGTCTTATTCCTCGCATTTTGTAACGCTGCTTTATTCCCTTTATCGTATTTTGTAATGCTGCTTTAGTCATTTTGGTGCATTTTATTACGCTGCTGTAGCCAGATTTCAATTAGGTAGGTAAATGTAAAATCATAATAGCTCATTTTTTTCTGTCATTATAAAGCATTTGCCATTCAACATTTGGGGGATGAGGGTAAGGGTGGGGAGAAAAGTGGCTTTTATACTCATATTTCTTGAAACAAACATTTGTTTGCAGAATTTATTCATGAAAAAAACTTTTAAATATTTAGGACCACAATTTCAACTACATTTTTTTTTAAAAGAAGATCATTTCTGACTTCTCTCAATCAAGTAGCTTCGAATCAAATGAATTATTTTAACCCTTTGCAAACTCAACCTTTATCTCTCATTCATACACAAAAAAATAATTGCTTTGTGCTATAGAACTTTGCACATAAATGTTGAATTTAATAATATTATTAGCGTTAAAAACGATTAACTCAAAGCAAATATGGACAGACCTCCAAAGCTGATAATGTTGTAATTAAGAAGATAGCATGCCCTTCAAATAAATTCAGTAATCAATAATTAAAATTATGCAGATTTCTGTAAAAATTAAAACAAATGTTTACATTTTCATTATGTTTCGGAAATCGTAATGACAAGATATACCATATATATATATATATATATATATATATATATATATATATATATATATATAATCACGCTCTTGATATTTTGTTTGAATTAAGCCTGTTACATGTACGATGTTTTATCATCTTAAATATGTGACCAAATGTTCTTTTTATTTGTCTTTGTATTTACAACCTTAAATGTTTAGTCCATTTTGGGGAATATCATTTTAGCGTAGCTCGGTGTTTGTACAACGCGCATATAATATTATGCTTTAAAAAAAGACGTGGTGTGATTGCTAAATATACAACTCTTCATCAGAGTCCAAATGACACAGAAATTAATAACTATAGGTCACTGTACGGCCTTCAAAATTGAGCAAAGCCCATACCGCATAGTCAGCTGTGTCAGCATTTTTTTTTGTATTCTTGGTTGGTTTGTTTTTTTTTTTTTTTTTTTGCTTATGTGCGTTTTTCTTATGCCATTTTGTTTTCCTTTGTTGACATTGTTGCTTGTTTTTTTTTAAATAAAGAAGATTAAAACGCAATGTTGATTACTGTACCGCAATCACATTTTTGACATTTTTAACTAATATATCTGGTTTGTTTTGCTCACATATTGTTCTAAGTATAATCGAATAATATTTGTACACGTGATTGATTTGGCTTACCATAAAACCGCGTTGAATCCATTGTGTTCTACATAATGAAATGCAAGTACCAAGTCAGGAATATGACAGTTGTTTGCTGTTCTTTTGATATGTTTTTGATTTTGCCATTTTATAAGGGACTTTCCGTTTTGAGTTTTCTATGGAGTTCGATTTTTTAATTGTTTCTATTTTTCATTTTCTAGCTTACTTGTTTTAATAATTATCAGGTTTACTATTTTAACTTGATGTACACATGAGAAAATATTTAATGTTGAAACAGGGTGCATCACATGCAACTAATTGTAGACAGTTTTACAGTATGCGACGGTTGATGTTAACACCGCTTAAGTAATTTCTTACAAAATGGTGTTGTTGGTTTATTTTCAACTAATAAGTTAGATTGTCCCAATGGTAACTTTCGCCTCCTCTTTATCTAATAAATGTTTATATGTCAAATTATCCAGAACAATTAGGAGTGTAAAGTTAGTCTGATAAATAAATAAGTTAATTATTTTCTAGAGTGTGCATCCTGACGGTATAAAAGACCATAAAGCAGTACAAGGTATATCAGAAAAACTTCTCAAAGGTGAGTGAGACCCTATAAGTTAATATATATTGAATGCCGAGTAAGTAGAAACTGATTGAACAATTATATCCTTTAAATGACAGCAATATAAATAAATGTCCATAGGAAAATGGTATATTGAATGGGGACGAATGGTTTAATTACTATTTTCAAAACGCCACACATAGATCAAGATTTCATTTGATTGTTTGATTTGATTGCGTAGCAAAGTGTTGTGGTTTTTGAATTGTGAAATATCGGTTTTCTATATGCCGTTCTAAGTCTGACTTTTAATATGACAGTTTAGCATATGGCTTTTTATACATGTTATAACATGTTTAAACGAATCCAATATAACTAATTAAGAATAAACTAAGTGATAATATATATTATTGTTTAAAATCACATTCATCCTTATCACAATCATCATGATCACAATAAATGTTGTTTTAAAACTAGCAATCCTTATCAACTGTTGCTGATTAATATGCATGAAATGGTACCTGCAGTGGATCGTAAGTTTAATGATAAACATTTAGAAAGGGAAAGAACGTTTTTACAAAAGGTTTCATAATTGAACAAGTGTGACAGTTTTATTATAGCTGTAAAAAGAACATTCCTTAACGTTAATGAAGACAGTTGCCGACTTACATCAATTAGTAGTGTGTACTTTAAACTACATTTGCAAATAGTATTTGAACGCTAGATATTAAACAGTTGATGTAGTTCTAACATTTTTAGTTATGTTGTGATTACTGACTTGTTCACAGTGTGTTTTACTGTGCGTTAAGTTATATGTATCCGCCTTTTATCTATATAATGCAGTATTTTAACTCCATCAATCTATTTCATTCTTCTAATTTTGGAAACATTTTCCTGTTTATTTTCAGGTCTTTGTTTCTCTAAAATTGGGATGATAACGTGCTGTGGGAAGAAATTAAAAACAAATCAAAACATGCCTGACAACCATGTTTCTGACACGTTACGAGTTGAAGTTTTCTTCAATAAGAAGGACACAGCAGCTGCAATATGGTGCACATGTCCAAATCCAATGAGTAAGGTTTTAGCCCAACCCACCATAACTTATAGTTGTATCCAGTCGTATTGATTCATACGATTATTTCAACAACATTTCGAAACTGAAAAACACATATTTATGTAGTCCATATATTGAAGACAACTAAAACGAAATAGGGATTTATATCTGCAAAGATTCATAAAGTGTTAATTTTATTCTCATCGGTTAGACTGTTTATATTTGTCACTTTTTATAAATAATTGATCTATATTCCGCAATTCTGTTCTGTATGTTTTTTACTTCCTTTGTTCATCTACAGTGTTTAGGTATAACAATACATTTATCGAAAGAAAAAATCGTCCCAAACTGACGTATTTATAATGTTTATGTAATTATAATCATGATGAAGTTTCGGAAAACATTTATAAACACCTTTGTTTATTTTTTTAGTGACTGCCCTGATCTCCAGCATGTATCTTACTGCTTTGGCAAATATTGCAGAAGAACAGTTTGAGGAAAACCTGCAAGAGGAATATGAATCTCATGCAGAGTAAGTGAGTCAATTAAGGATCCTTAATATTCTAAGAAAGCAAAGTGATTGATGGATATGATAAGTAATCGCATGCTAAAAATATCTTTAATAAGCATAGTATCACTTTAAATATAATCATTGTGGCAAAAAAAGTAATGAAAAATGTCCCCTATTAATGGTACAATGAAGTTAAAATATAAATCAAATCAAACTTTCTATATTCACCATACCCGCGTCTTCGGTATTCAATAAACGCAATTTATGTATATCTAATACAGTATTTAGTCAACTGAATTCACAATAAGTTTACCATTCATTGTTTCTTAATTTAATCGGCATAACTGAAAAACTGATTATATGTTCATTGCAGATTATTTTTGTCCCGCGCCGTAAAGCTTTTAGAAAAAATGCATGCTGATGACGAAAGTATGGCAATAGCAGCCCTAGAATACGTTTCCGAAATGTGGGATAATATTGAAAGTCCTTTGCATTTTGCACAGCAATTCAATATTGAAGAATTCATATCTCACTCAAAGATTCAGATAGATGCATCAAGGAGATTGTTTCCTGTAAACAAAAATGCAAATGATAAAACTATTAAATCTGGTACTGCATCAACGAAGGCATCAGACAATAAATCGTCAATTGATGATTCTGCATCACAAACCACACCAGACACCACAACTTCAAGGCATACAGAAACACAGAACATGTCAAATAAAACCACTGGAAATACTAAATCGGATACTGCATCAAAAAACACATCAGACAGCAAATCTTCAATGGTTGATTCTGCATCACAATCCAAACCAGACACCACAACTGCAAAGCATACAGAAACACAGAACATGTCAGATAAAACCTCTGAAAATACTAAATCGGATAGTGCATCAAAAAACGCATCAGGCAGCAAATTTTCAATAGGCGATTCTGAATCACAAACCACACCAGACATCACAGCTGCAAAAAATACAGAAACACAGAACATGTCTGATAAAACTACTGAAAAGGCAGCCGCATCACAAAATTTATCAAAAAACAATACTGCATCAAGTACTGCACTAAAGACCCAAGAACCGCTACTAAATTGTAAAACTTACCCAATGACTATCAGTGGGTGGTTTTCATTTGTAAAGGTATGTACAGTGTTATACAAAAACAGTTAAGGATCTTTTCACAAAGATGTATGTTTTTATCCTTAGTAAAAAACACATACAAAATAGAAATTTGTATTATACCATTGACACAATGAAAACATTGCTTTTATCAGAAGGGAATTGTATGATATGATGTTGCCAGTGTGCATGAGTTATACATGTTGTAATTACAAAAAAAATCCCCTTACATTCAAACGACAACATGTTTTGTCTACGTGAATGCAAAGAAACAATAATTAGCAAGAAATGAACAATGTTGCACACAGACTTGTTTTTCTTATTTTAAAAGATGTTGTTTAAAAATGATAACTACAATGACTCAAATGTAATGAAATGATAATTCAGAGGACAATACATCAAATGATTTGTATTGGTAATATATATCACATTGGTTTCGTGTAATTTCTTTAAAGTTTGATTTTTTAATAATGAAAAAACCTTAATTGAAAAATGTAAAAAGGCTCTATACCCTAAGCCATACCTCAAAGTCGGCTATAAATAGCCCCTTCATGTTAATTGTGAGACACAATTGAGAAAACTAAAGTCTTAATTTGTGACAAAATAATTTACTAAAAATAAATATGACAGTCATGATCAAACGACAACCACTGACAGAATGTGATGGTCTTATACAAGTGTATGAGAGCTCAAGTATGGGTTACCTTGGACAATGGTGTGACAGCACAATATAGAAAAGCTGTAAAAATTTAATTATCTCTAAAGATCTGTACGAGGCACAACAAAAAATTACAAAAAGCATAAAATCAATAGACACAACGCACCAAAAACAAAGAGTACTTGCAGCTATTGAAATTAAAGCTAGTACAACACATCATAAATCATGTTTTCCTAGACCAAACATAGTAAAGTATCAAATATTAAACATCCAAAATGACATCAGAAGCATGCAAACTCAGGGAGCACATCACTTTCAAACATATTATGCAGTATCTTGAGAAATATTAAATACTTGTCGATTACCAACATGGCTTTAGACAGAAAAGTTCCTGCAAATCTCAATTAGTAACAACAATTGAAGAGATAGCAAAACATCTAGGTAAAAAAGAACAAGTCGATATAGACAAAATTTTATTTCAGAAAAGCATTTGATGTAGTGCCTCACATACGGTTTCTGCTGAAATTTTAGCATTACGGAATAAAAAGCAAAATAATTGAGTGTGTAAAGGCCTGACTCACACAACGACAACAGTGTGTAACAGTTGAAGGTGAAACATCTACAAAGGCCTTTGTGAAATCAGGAGTACCCCAAGATATAGTTTCATACTCATTGATGTTTTTTGTTATATATCAATGATATTGGGGATGACATCAAGTCAAAGTTGCGTCTCTTTGGAGATATCTTGTTATGACCATTTTCATTATATGAAGTGCATTTACCTTTATATGATGTGCACATAACCTTATATGATGTGCATATATACTTACATGATGTGCAAATATACTTATATGATGTGCAATTGTACTTATATAAAGAGCAAACATTCTTATATGATTTGCAAACATTCTTATATGATGTGCAAATGTACTTATATTATGTGCAAAGATCTTTATGTGATGTTCAAATATACTTATATGATGTGCAAATATACTTATATGATGTGTACATATCATTATATGATGTGCAGTTTCCCTTATACTATGTGCAAACATCTTTATATGATGTGGTTGTGTCATCATATTATGTGCTTGTTATCTTATATGATGTGGTTAGGTTTACTTCATTATATGATGTCGAAACGTCATTATATGATGTGCTTTCATCGTCGTTATGGTCAATGAACATGATTACGATTAGAATGATTACTGTCTACGTCATAACTGATTCCGATCTGCTTCTGTAAACTATAAACCCGGCTCAAATATGTGTACGCTATCGAAAGTGCAATTTATAGGAAAATTACACAATGCAATTTATTAAAATCAACGTTTCAAACATTTCGGAGGAAGATTAAGATCAACTAATACAGGAGTTAGTTGAAAAAATTCTCGGCTGAGGCGAAAATATGATAAAACAAATTTTGGGGCTCTTTATAGCTTGCTATTCGGTTTAAGCAAACGCTCCGTGTTGAAGGTCGTACTTTGACCTATAAATATTTACTCTTACAAATTATAACTTGGATGGAGAGTTGTCTCATTGGCTCTTATACCACATCTTCTTATTTCTATTCATTGCAAAAGACATCATTGAACTCACAGTCAGTTTTAAAAATATTTCATAACAATAGCTATAAATTATCTACTCGTGCATAATATATCGAGATGTTTTGTTTTATAAAATGTTATTGGATACTATAAATGGTAAGATGTATAATGTAGTATTGAATATGTACAGTGATATTAAATCTAGTATATCATATAATATATACTACTAAAGGAAGAGACCGATTTCATTGAGCCGCAACTCCTCTTAAACCATGCAAAGTCGGAAATATTTGTGATATGACGTATACATGAAGTGTTTTGTACTTCCTTAATTTGTCTTTGAAACAACTTTTTTTTCCACAGAAAACGCCAATTTTGTGAGAAATATCCGAATTCGGAGACCGCATGCTTAGTCGACGTACTGCCCGCGAAATGCGAAAGGGCCAGGTTGGGTAATGTTCACATATTTGCATATACAGATTGTTTATTTTCAACTAATTTTAATGGAGGTGTTTTTTTAATTTCTTATAAAATTCTGCAACTTGAGTATGTCAACAGATTTGGAGTAGCGTCAACGGTTTCTGAGATAAAAGGGGATGATTCCTGATGAAGTGTTTTAGATTTTATTTTTCATCCAATTAGATGGGATTTTTTTCCCATTGTGTTACTCATTTTGATCCTTTTCGGTAATGTCAACGCATTTTACGTTACTCATACGGTTATTGAGTTAAAAGAGCAAAAAAACCCTGAAAATCACACTTTGCCACACTTTTCTAATTTAGGGTATTTAATATTTTTGTTTTCCAACCTTGATGAATGGGGTGACGCCCGTCTTTTGAATTATGTTCCTTGTTTTCGTCTCTTTAAAGAAATAGAATTAAATGCATTAACCGTGTCCAAATCCTTACTGTGTCCACCTTATTACTGTATCCACACTCTTTGTTTCAACACTTCCCCAATTGTACCGCGATTTCGCTGGCATCTTCTATTAATTATAATTCGGAATACTTTGCTTGTTTGTGACAATGGTGTTCGACAAGGAGAAAACGTATCACCTTTCCTGTTTTCTTTTCTTTTGATTGACTAAAAACATTTCTTAGTGAGTTAAAATATTTCAGGACTTAATAGAACTATACCAGAAGATCTGGAAAGAGAATGATATATTTATTAAGTTTTTTATCATACTGTACGCATATGACACGGTTATGTTGGCCGAAACAGCACAGGACCAGCAGACTCAACTCAATGCCTTCCATGATTATTGTAAGGCTTGGAAGACTAATTACAAATTGCCGATTGAAACAGGAAGGTTGCAAAGCGTATTAAGATAAAACAATTTTTGCCATCAATGTAACAATCGACAAATTGGAGACGAATATCACTATATATTTGAATGTATATGTACTATTTTCGACCAAAAACGTAAAGAGTATTAATACTCCTATTTTATACGACATGATATAGTTATTATACAAAAATATAAACACGTGCGTTTGTCTTCCTGGCTAGGGACTTTTGAAACCTCTCTCTCTTGTTTTGTATATATTGTAAATAGTTATTATTGTCACCTCTGTACTGATGTCATACATTGACTTTAGGAAAATAACGATATAGATTTAGAGGCCATATTTATATCGGTATGGATGATTGATTGAATAATTTGTTGATTGATTGTTATTTAAAGCCGTTTTCAACACTGTCATGGTATTTCGTGGCGGTGAGTTTATATTGGTGGAAAATTCTGGTCAATTAAGATTGGAGTCGAGCTTACCTTCCATGTGCGGGATTCGAACTCACACACATAAGCGTTGACAGGCTAGTGATACAGTAGTTCGTCTACTTACACCACTCGACCACCGAGCGCCCATCCCGTCCATCCGAAATGGATTAAAGGAGATATGAAATGAACTTCAACTAGGTGCATTACATTTGCGTGCAGCTTTTTATTATGTTTTCGTGCATATGTTTCACAGCTTCAACTAAAGATAATTATGGATGGATGCTTGACGTCCAGCGGCAAATTGATATGCACATTCGTACAAGAACATGTTAATGTGATATGAATATCAACCCTGTTTTGTACTAGACCGACACCCTGAGTTGGATTTTCAACATGCTAGTTCTCAAGGTAATATTCCGAAGGACGACATGTCATCTTACCCGGACACATTATTCTGATTCCGAGCCGACCAGCTTTTGGTCTTATTTCTTAAATTCACGTGCTTAGCAAGGAAGCAGCAAATATCAATTTTGAAGTCTTTGGTTTTGACCCGGCCGGGGTTCGAACCCACGAGCTCCCTCACTCGAGGCGAACATGCTACAACGAAAGCACCACCACTAGACATGCGGTGACCCGCAATATAAAAGGTTTCGTGGGAAGCCGCTCATATATACACCTCTAGACTCAGGTAAACAGGGCTAACGTACTGACTATTGATTTCTTCTTTGTGAGTGTGTGTGTGTGTGTGTGTGTGTGTGTGGGGAGGCAGGTTTTTTTTGTAAATGTTTGATTCCAAATTTCTTGAAAGAGATTTTTTGTATTTCAGAAGGGAAGCCAAATAGTTTGTTTCCATTTAAAATGAGGGAAAAATAAAACAATAATGAAATTAAAAAAAAAAAAAAAAACATGTTATTTGTTTATTAGCGTCGAACAAGGAAATACACGTGCTCCTACCCACACTAGAGTCGGTGTCTAACACATTTGATTAATATATAATGTACAGATCATCTGTCTAAGTTTTGGTTTCAAGGATCTGACAACACTTCATTTTACTTTCTGTACTGGTAAATATTACATCAGCCAATGAAATTTCAGCCTTCATATTTTTGAAGGTGTGGATCAATCCGACAAAACCAGAGAACTCCAATGGTCTTGAATTGAGCGTTTTCAGATCGACGTAAGCAAAGCTTGAACACTTAATAGATATAATCTAATCAGATTGGTGTCTTAATGAACTTAAAACACTGCATTTATTTATTGTTTACTGAGACCTGTTGTTCTCTTACAGATAGAGAGTTGTGTTTTGAATTTATCAAAGTGAAGCGGCTTTTAATATTTTGCGATTATCCTGGAAACTATAATAGATTTAAAAAACAAATATTGCAATGTGTCTGAATATACTCTATAGTAAAGGTCCTTTTTGGGCATTTTTGGCTCTTCAGAGTTTTGTTGTTTTATTGGCTATTATCTTGATAACTTATCTATAGAGAAACCTTTTCTTGCAAAATAGTATAGACAAGAACATATGTAATCAAAGTACTGAAGTACTGAACATCGGATGATCGCAAGTTCTTGTGGATAGTCAAAAGCACTTGTCTCAGAAAAAAATATCATTTCTGTACCGGAAAGTGAGGTAAATTTCAACCCCCCCTCCCCAAAAAAAAGCCACCACCGGATAATGACGCACAAACACACATAACAATAAAATGCTTCGCTGAGCGCAGTCTTATACGACCGCAGAGGTCGAACCCTGAACAGTTGGTGCAAGTTTGGACACAATATTCAAGCTTGATACCGTATGAATATGGACTGTTATCATATTTTTGAATATTATTATGACACAAAATAAATGTGGTGGAAGATCTTAAAAATTTTAAATGGGTTTAAATATTTGTATTAGTTTTCAATTGAAGATTTCTTGCTATTGCGCAATACTGTAATATTGTGCAATACTGTGCTATTGCACAATACTGTGATATTGTGCAATATTGTGCTACTGCCAAATACTGTACTATTGATGATTTCTTTCTATTGCGCAATACTGTGCAATTGATGATTTCTTTCTATTGCGCAATACTGTGCAATTGGACATTTCTTGCTATTGTGCAATACTATGCAATTGAGGATTTCTTGCTTTTGTGCAATACTGTGTAATTGAAGATTTCTTGCTATTGCGCAATACTGTGCAATTGAAGATTTCTTGGTATTGCACAATACTGTGCTATATAGCAATAATATGCAATTGAAGATGTCCTGCTATTGCAAAATACTTCATATAATAATTTACACATCATTTTGGTGTGTATCTCCTGCCATATCAGTATTTTTTTCTTTTATATATTTATCAGAAATAATCAATGGAAAAATTTTAAGAAAAAAACCCCCAAAAACCCCAAAATTATAAAAAAGAAAATCCCCCCCCAAATTTTGTTTACCCACCCTTTTAGTAATTACCCCCCAAACTCAATCCCAGCTTTCCCTTTGTGGTATGGTATCTTCAATTACAATTTCGGAGAGATCCATACACTTAAATCAAAGTTATTGTCTGGAAACTAGAAAAATGCTTATTTTTGGACCCTAATTTATGAACGTTTAGGGCAATTACCCCCAAACTCACTCCCAGCCTTCCCTTTGGCATATGGAACCTTGTGGTACAATTACAAAAAGATCTTTGCACTTACACACAAGTTATTGTCTGGAAACTACAAAAATGCCTATGTGGGCCCCTTTTTGGCCCCTAATTCATAAACTGTTGGGACCATAACCCCAAAAATCAATCCCAACCTTTCTTTTGTGGTTTGCAACCTTGTGTTTAAATTTCATAGATTTCTATTTTCTTATACTTAAGTTATTGTCCGGAAACCAAATGTCTTCGGACAACGCTGACGACGACGACGTGATACCAATATACGACCGCAAAACTTGTTTAAAAGTTTGCAATATTGCTTCAGTAGTGGATCTATAACTTTTTTGTGAAAGTTGTTTGCGACTTCAGGGAACTTAATTTGGATTTGCCGGTTATGGTCTCATTAATATTTACCACACCTTCATTCAATATTAGCTTCAGATATATAAAATTGAAAGCAATCTTTCCATTCCAAAAATGATAGAATTAAAGGCCCCCTTTATTTCTTCCTATCCCCCCTTTTTTTGGGTTACAAATGACTGTCCATTATATGAGCCATTACCCTATCAAAGTCCGATTTTGCCCATTCTTTTGTGTCTATCTTGAGAATATTTAAAGAGAAACTCGAACAGCTAAAATGATCAGCAAGGCAAAATTTACATAAATGAACATACTAGAAATTCGTGTATTTACTTCTTATAGAAAAAATGCTAACGTTAGGTACTGTAAATTCAGAGGTTTTTATTATTGCAAAAAATGCGACAGAGTTGTAAACGCAATACCGGTAATTAAACTAGCATTTTGAAATATTTATTTGAATTAAACAGAATTTTTCTCAAAATCGTAAAAAATAAAATCGCATTTAAGTCTAAAATGACAAAATCGCAATAATAAATGCACGCAATAATATCTGAATTTACAGAATACAGAAATTGACAATTGTAATGCCTTCCCTTGTTAAAATGAGCATAGAGCATGACATAAAAGAATTATTTTTTAAATTTAATAACTTTAACCGTATGTTCATTATTATAGTCTCTGTATGTTCATTATTGTAGACCCGTCGATTAAAATAAAACTTTGCAATTTTTTTATTTTGACAAATTTCCAACAATATCAGATGTGAGGTACTAACATACCAAGGTTTATCTATTTATGAATCGCAACCATTTTCCAAACGATAGCTACAGATTTCAGCCTGATTGATAGTTACTCCGCAAAAGCAGATCGGAATCAGTTATGAAGTAGACAATAATCATTCTAATCGTAATCATGTTCATTGACCATAACGACGATGAAAGCACATCATATAATGACGTTTCGACATCATATAATACAATAAAACAAACCACTTCATATAAGATTACAAGCACATAATATAATGACACAACCACATCATATAAAGATGTTTGAACATAGTATAAGGGAAACTGCACATCATATAATGATATGTACACATCATATAAGTATATTTGAACATCATATAATGATCTTTGCACATAATATAAGTACATTTGCACATTATATAAGAATGTTTGCACATCATATAAGAATGTTTGCACATCATATAAGTACATTTGCACATCATATAAGTATATTTGCACATCATATAAGTATATATGCACATCATATAAGTATATTTGCACATCATATAAGTATGTTTGCACATCATATAAGTATGTTTGCACATCATATAAGGATGTTTGCACATCATATAATGATGTTTGCACATCATATAAGGATGTTTGCACATCATATAAGGATATTTGCACATCAAATAAGGATATTTGCACATCATATAAAGGTGTTTGCACATCATATGATGACAAGTGCACATCATATAAAGGTAAATCAACATCATATAATGAAAATGGGCATAGCAAGACAGTGTTGGCGTTCCATATGGCAATATATTGCAATGATGGCTGCAACCAATTACAAAAATATCTGGATAAATTGGCATCTAAATGGCAGATGAAATTTAAAACATCAAAATGTTATGTTCTAAGAATAACCAACAAGACAAATTCTATAAGACACAACTATAACATGCATGTCCAAATTTTAGATATTTTGGAGGAGTTCAGTTCACCAACAACCTGAAATGGGATATACACATCAACAACATCACGTCAAAAGCAAATAGATCATTAGGCTTTCTGATGAGAAACATCAGCAAATTCTCAGACGAAATTAAGAAAAGAGCATATCAAGCCAATGTTAGACCAAACGTTATATATACAAGCAGTGTCTGAGATCCATACCAGGAAAAGCACATAAAACAGATAGTAATGGTGCAAACAAGATTAGCACGTTTCATAAAACACCTATACAGCAGAGAACCTGGGTCAGTTACTAGCATACAGTATAAGCTAAAATCACCATCATTAGAGACCAGAAGGAAAATAAAAAGGTTTTGCCTGTTCCACAAAGATTTACATCATGAAATAGCCATAAATATTCAAGAGTATGTAGCACAACAAATCAGGCCAACACGACAATATCACCAAAATAAATTTAGAAACCTTCAAACATCAATCAACACTTACAAATACAGCTTCTTTCCACGTACCATCAAATACTGGAATACCTTACCAATAAGACTGTTTAATATAGAAGTTGCAGAAGCATTCAAAAACAACCTCACATCTTATTTAACAGTCACGCAACAAACACTAAATTTTATTTTCACATGTAAATATGTTTTCAATGAGCACCGTTTTGCTTGACTTAATTAGTACCTGCGTGATGGGTCTAAGACCCTTCGCATTTCAATGATGTAGATGTAGATATAGGTTTATCCTGATAATAATGCACTTTTCAGGACAACTGGAGGACTTCAAAGCATGATATTTGCACAGCACCTGTAACAAAGATAGCTGTTCACGTTGTGAGTTAACAATTTAAATAAGATACATCAAAACTTTCGTTCAACTTATTGTAAATAACCTTTTACAAGTAAGACGAGAGAGAGACAGAGAAATGCTGTTTTCACGTTAAGAAACTTTGCAAAAACATTTTAAAGCAGTATTTTGAGTGTTGTACGGAAGGGTATTAGCGCCACGCCATATTTTGTTTTATTTTTTCCTAGGTTTTCGTTATAACGCAATCCTTTGCGAAATAACCATGATAACGCAAACCTTTGTGAATTAGCGCAAACTTTTGCGATATATCGCAAACGTTTGTGAAATCATATGTCTTATATTAGTTGCAAGGGATGTAGCTGTTACAAATGGAGGAGGCTGCTTATGTTATAATTCATTACCATTTGTACTCATTGCAAAGTAATATGCTTTCAGTGTTTAGTACATATCAAGGGATAATAATGAGGAGTATAGTACATGTATATAGTAATACTTATAATAATACTAATAATATCTTTAATTAAAGTTAGTAAATCATTTGGATTAAACCAATTTTTAATAAGGCTCTCTACATACAATATCAATTACATGTCTTTTGAATAAAACATAATCTATCGACTGTTACACACATATATTAAACAATTATATATGTATACATATAAATATAACAAACAAATACACCTACATGTATAGTTTACATTGTATAAATTAGACACTGTCAAAAATATAACTGTATGAGTCTTACCAATTTACTCTTACTGTTAGGATGGTTTGCAGAAGATTTAAGAGTTCCTGTAGATATAGGAACAAAAGAAAACGGGAAAAACTTAAAACCCGTAAACTAAATAACAAGTATAAATCAAGAAAGATTCGAGAAGAATCTTGCAAAAAGCTTGTGTTGAACTTGTCAAGTAGACTACTGACAAATGAGGAATACCTCCTCTTGGGAAAAGGGATGAAGTTTATTCCTACTCCTAAAGTTTCAGGTACTTACATACGTAAACAAATCATGATGGATTTTCTTGAACTAGCTAGAAAATTGAGATGTAGATTTCACTACTCTACGAACACAATTAAAGAAATCCATCCTTTATACTTACAAACAGGGCATATTCCACCTAACGGAAACAATGCCCTTGAATGTTACATAACTGATACAAAACTTGAAATTTCTAGATTAAAGGTAAAACAGTTCAAACACAACCTAACACTAGCAGAGCGTAAAGCTTTCAATTATCTTATAAAAGATGACAGCATCTATATATCTAAGGCAGATAAAAACAACACAACTGTGGTCGTAAACACATTAGATTATATTAATGCAGGAACTAATCACTTAAACAGTGATCATTACAAGAAAATAAATCACACAAACACAGAGATTATCACTAGATCTATTTCGAAGATTGTAAATAAACTATTTGCAAACAAAGAAATTGATGAGCACACTTATAACTTCTTAAGTGACTGCAAGAATCCTAAACATGGATACATGTACCTTCTTCCTAAAATACATAAAATTCGGCAAGACTCATTAGAAGCTATCAAAATAGATGGGAAGTCTTGAGGTTTAAGTATGTATGTTGGCGATGGGAATCTATGCATTTGTGGAAAGTTTTACCCAAATGTTTGTAAATATCGTGTTCGTTTAAAATGATTGTCGCATCCCTTTTTCGCAATTTAAGTAAGCTGTCAATTTAAAAAAAAAACTTGTTACAGTTTCTCCACACTAAACAACAGTAATCCGAATGGGGGTTAATATAAGCATCGTAAAATAGATACAGTGCTTTTTGATTCAAGTATTTCTTAAATTGTTCTTTTTAATAACGCTAATGAGAAATTGACTTTTTTGATAATATGATTTATTTGGTCATACCAAGACATAGTGGAATCAACAAAAATACCAAGGGCTTTTTCATAGTGACTTTTATAAATATGTTGACCACTTTTGTTTACGTTTCCACATTTGTATGACATTATTGCTTTGCTCTTATGTACTTTACCACTTTCCGTTAATCAAAATGTCAAAATCGTGGTCTTTCCAAGGAGATAATATGAGAAGGATAGAGGACGAAAGACGATAATTTCACATAAAATGTTACTTCCTTTTTCTGTTAGTGGGTGTTAATTAGTTGAGAACGATTCGATCGCAGCGGGACACTCTGTTCTAATTACACACCCGAGTAAGAACGAAAACACCCGAAGTGTTATAAACCTTCTGAGATTTTACAAAATAATCCTGAGATCGAGGCTCAATTCTCGACAGTATATAACTATATAGCCTAACTTACAAGTGAAGGTTTGGTCAGGCTTCCAGAATATCGAAAAATATATATCGGAAGTTTGCTGTTGACGTTTTTCAGTAATAGTTTGATAATGGTCGACGATTTATTTATAAGCGATGCCTTAGTGTTTGAGCTCGAAAAAGAATTGATCTAGAAATATCCTGGATCTGCAAGACAAACAACTCAACCGATCTGAAATGCTTCGTAAATGGCGTATCTATTTGTGGAATTAAATTAAAACAAAATATTTATAAAAATATGCAGGAAAGATTTCTGTAAATAAAAGAAAAGACACGCGTTCCTGTTGTAGTATTTCATATTGACGTGTTTCTGTATATATTTTATTAATAAATATTGCAACCGTGCATGGCCTGAAAAGAGTATGAATTACGAAGAAAAATGGTACCGTTTCATCAAGCCAATTGACTTCGGTTTGAAACAAAATCTTAATTAAACTCACTGTGTAACAAGTATTGATTTGGCTATCAAAGATCTTTATTTCTCTTATTCGATACATGTAATTTGTTTGTTCCTTTGCTTTCAGTCAGAGCCCGTTAATTTTAAATGGAACTCAATTAACATAAACATATTGAAAAAAAGATCGGCTAAGTTAGCAAAAAAATTTAATTTTGCAAAAAAAATGACGATTTAAAGAAAAACTATCTGTCATGTCCAGATGGCTACAACATTCCACCTGGAGAAAGACTGTAACTTTTTTGGTGGTTCTAGGATAGATTTATCTAGCTGTTTCAATAAAACAAAAGACCGCTACCGGAACGGCCACTTACTCACATATTCCTTTCGTGGATATAACCTACCATTTACCATTCCCAGTAGCCAACATAGAAAGTGAATATATAAGCGCCTACGCCTAAATTTACAGGCTAACGCCACGAGAAACAAACTTTGCGCTGGCTATCAATAAATTTTTCTTCATTTCAATTATAAGTAGTTGCTCCGTCACCGTAACGAAATTAACTCGCATATTTCTCTGTTTTTGTGATATTACCTAAAAATATTCATGGATAGTTTTATAAAGGTGAAGCGAAAATCTTTGTTTAACATGTTTAAAGCAAAGTAGGGTTCAATAGAAATTGCATTCTTAAACTTCTCTAAACCCTCACAACTTTGTCATTTCTCAAGCGTTTTTCGCAGTAGTTAGACTATATATTATCGAATTTAGCGTCAAATGTTATTACACAATATCGACACATTCAAACTAATTTGTAACAATAATTACACCTGTATTTCAATGACCCAGTCACCTATTACAATCACGTGACATCAGCAATTTTCCTAATCACACAAACTGTTCGCGGTAACAGCCTGGTACATCTGAGAACTACATCAAGTTGGTGAGAAACATGTCGATTTCTTTATATTTGTATCATTTTCCCCTGATCGAATTCCTATCCTGGGGATACTAATTTTATATCAAGCAGAGTGTTCACTCTCCTTCTCATATAACCTCCTTGGTTTTTCAATTGAAATTATTTATAGCTATATCATGTATACCATATCTTGTTTTTGTCAAATTTTCTGATGCAAAAACCATTCTTAATTTATGTATTATTGCACTTTGGGTATTTCATTTATTCCTATTATATTGCATGACATGATTTGGTCTTGTTCTTATGGTCCTTCTTGTTACTAAATAACCACCGCATTTAAATGAATGACGGACATGCCGCCAATTAAACAAAAACACATCTTTCAAGATTTATCATTAATGTAAAATGTAAATCAAATGGTTTTTTTTATCATAACATATACAAAAATAAAATAATAATCAATCTAAAAATATATGCGTTAATTCGAAAATGTTCGCGTTATAACGCAACGGTTTGCGTTATTGCGATAAGAATTGCGTTATAACGCAACGATATGCGTTAATTCGCAAAGGTTTCCGTTATACTGCAAAGGTTTGCGTTAATTCACAAAGGTTTGCTTTATTAAGGAAAAAATATAAAAAAAAATGTGTGTTTCGCATCCGTAGTGTTGCTAGTAATTTTTTGGAGTTATCAAATATAACTCGACTGTTCAGTGTCATTCAACGTTTATACCAATAATCCTGGTCAAAAGCCTATTGCATGACCTACTTAATGTTTTTATTTTATTAATGTGTTCTAATCTGGAGCATGCATGATATATTTTAAACGTGACTTAAGTAAATTAAAATCTATCGGTGATAGGTAACCAGACTTCCCGACTTACCTATTAATTTATAGCCTGCTGTTCAGTGTGAGCCAAGGCTCCGTGTTGAGGATCGTACTTTGACCTATAATGGTTTACTTTTATAAATTGTGACTTGGATGGAGAGTTGTCTCATTGGCACTCATACCACATCTTCTTATATCTAAGTAATATTTACTGTTGATTTCATTGGAAATGTGATAATTCTCTATAAATGTCTGTTGCCTATAAATGAATCCAGCTTGTTAAAAAACTATTAATACCTGGTAATTATGTGATTTCGTAAAATAAGAAATAAATTGTGAATTAATATTTTCTCTTGCATGCTTGCAGTAAAAATCACATTCATGCTTAGTGTAAACGCATCATTGATTCACTGAGAGTTATATTTCATGGTAGCTTATACACAATGATATAATGATTATACAAACGAATATTATATTTATTCTAATTTAATGATAGTTTCAAAATAATTTACAAGGTTTCTTTTTCACATATTTACCATCAAATAAACGACTAGCAATTCTCAAATGCCTTGCTTGAACCATATGCAAATTTGTTTATTTGTCCTAATTGTATATAATTATAATTCGTCTAAATAACATCCAAACAATGTTAGATCCGTATTTTTTTTCCCTGGCCGGGATTCGAATTCGTGCTACTGATATATCGTGGTACTAAATTGCCTTGCACTGTGCCCGACGCTAGACCACTTGACCACCAAGGCTCTTCAATAATAGAGATCTAACATTGTTGGGCTGTCACTGGTGATCCGATGGATAGAAATATATATATATATATAAAACTATGTTTATGTTTTATCGTGCGTGTTCTTCAAATACTCTGTGTTCAAATGTGTATCAATATAAACGAATTTACCTGCGCAAAGTACAATATACTTTAGAGTGTTCAATTGTTTCTAGATATATGATTTATAATCCATCGTCTTTGAAGCATTTTTTTTCAAAACACTGTTTATAGGCGCAAGACAATACAATTTTTGTAAGAAATATGTATCAAATTATTTTTGAAAAACTATCTTGACGAACACGTAGTACAACTAAACAAGTTGTGTCTATTAAAAAAATCACTACACTTGCACAATGCAATGTAAAGGGATTCATTGAATTTTAAACCATTTTTTTTTAAATTTGTAGGTATTTTTTATAACTGCTTTAATCATGTTCAGCTATTTTCTCATTGGAAACCTTGATAATGGTTCAATATCTCTACTAGAAGGCTTGGTTTTCATTTACATGTCGGGAGATTTTCTAGAGGAAATTTGGAGCATGGTAAGACTACACATATTCTTTCGTTTAAACGGTCTGTTAAGGCAGATCATTAGCATCTTTTATTTTAATCATTTTTGTTAATCGTGTATATAAATCTACATAGTTATGCGGCGTGCATATACTTTAAAATGTGTTGCTCTGACTGATTTTATTCATTTATCAGACAATCGAAAAAAAAAAGACAAAATTGAGTTTCGTGTTTAAACGGGTGTTTGTTTTTAAACAAACAATTGCAACAGTATTCAAACTAGTAAAAGTTGTACAACATTTTTATTTCGTGACTTATTCTGTGATTAATTATGTTCACTTATAGTTTTAAAGCTCTTCAACATCATAAAGAATTGTTGGGAAGACATATATTATGATATATACCATGTTACATTCTTTTACAGTTTCGACCGGAAAAAGATTGCATCTGGTCGCATCAGAGAATTATTCTCCATCTATGGAACCTTTGGAACTGTTTGGATGTGTTGTGCTCAATCTTGTATATAGTGGGATTTTGCGTGCATAATTTTGACTCAATTTCAATTGTACATACTAGACGAATCTACAGTATTGCTTTGATTATCATGTTCCTTCGGTTGCTTAACTTGCTTTTGCTGTCTAAAACTTTTGGTATAATAATAATTATGGTGAAAGAAATGGTGAGTTTGCTAACAATATTTTTGTGTTATCTAACTATATAAGAAATCTATTGGAGACCATCGAATATCGATTTGTCATTAGTTTACATTGTTCGATCCTATTTGAAGTCATATGAAACGATATATTGTTTCTGATATTCATATTGTTAGGAAAATTATTGAAACAAAAGTTACACATCCACTACTGATTTTATAGTTTGTTCTTCGCTCATTTGTTTACATATTGTTTTTGTTTTGTTCTAAGGTACCAATGTTTAATTACTACGATAGGGTTCTGTGCACACGTACGTACATGTTCAACCCCTTCACATTCTTTATTTGCCTGTCCAAAGTAAGGATTCTAAATTCGTGGTTGTAGTTTGCTGCTATATATCATATTCATTTGGTTTTTTTGTTAATTATTTGTAAATAAATGAGGCTTTTTGTTTTTTTCTCTTTTGAAATCTTTCTACATCGGTTATTTTGAGACCTTGAAATGTTTGCTATGCGATATGAGTTTTGGTTATTGTTAAAGGTCGTGCGGTATCTTAAAAACGCTTACTCTTAAGTGGTGGAGAGTTGTCTCATTGGCAATTTTACCTCATCTTCTTTTTTTTATATATATATATGTATATGAATATATCTAGCTAAGTCCTCTGTGCACGGTTTTTTTCATAGCCTATTCGAATTCATAACGTATAATCGACATGCAATGTTCAATATTGTCATTGTTGAATTTGTCGATGCTTATTAAATTGCATGGTTTCCTAATGAAGGTATCGGTGTAACCCTTTAACAAACACTAAAGGTTGCAATTCTGTAAATATAGACAATGCAATTTCCCATAGGAACTCCCTTTGCGGCTAAAACTGTGACACTTTTACTATGAAGTTTCGTGAAAAATAATATCCCAGAACGGAAAGTTTATATGCACTACTATTTTATTCAAAGGTCAAAATATAGGGCTGTGCGGCATATTTTCAACATTTATATACCCTGAACTTCTAAGAGTTTAAACTTACACTAAAATTCTATACTACCCTAACCTTCATATTTGGACCTCCTAAGAATTAAAATTAGGCGCTACCATGTTTTTCTATACTGGTTACATTCCCAAGTGATGTCTCTATGAGATGAAACACAGAGATCATAGATGGGAACCAGTACATTAACAAATTAACATATCTATGAATATTATATATCTCCCCAAAAGAGGCGTGGTTTGCGAAACAGCTGTATTTACAAAGTGCAACCTATACAAACATTTATTCAAATAGAAAACCTTCTAAAAACATTTTTTCTCACAACAATACTTATTTATCAGAATTATAGCCTTAAGGAAATCACTGCATATACTCTAAGTTTCCTTTTACAGTACATTTTATACCCCTACCCCTATTTCAGTTGTTTTTTAAAGAATTTGAAAACAAGACTTTAATCATTGCCAGCTTACCCTATGTGCATGTTTTCTGACATGAAATGTCTAAAACATGTTTGAAACTATTCTGATAACAAATTGAAAGCATTTTAGAATACTATAAATGTATTGTTTAGTAGTTAATCATTCCAACATTCAAGATTATACAAAGTATCCAATCCTGCCTGTGTCTCCAGTCAACATCTTACTGTATGCCTATTTGTCAATATATCATCTCTAACCATATAACTAACATAAGTTAGTTAATGTATGAACTAGAAGTGTCTAAACAAAGCCATATTTGCAAAATAGTATTTAAGAAGATATCAGTCTGGTGCATAAATTCACTAAAAGTTTGATAGAAATGACTGCTTACATCTTATTTTTGCATAACTTTCCAGCACAGTTATTGTTTTGTTTACAAAAGACCTTGAAAATAATAAAATCATAGCATTTACAAGTTAAATTATCTGTTTTATGACCCAGGGTAGGCATTTTTTCTGTTTTTTGCCCCCTGGGGCCTCACATTTTCTAAATATTTTCCTTGTTTCTAGCAATGTGGAGTATTTAGTATATAATTAGGATAGAACACACTATTGTAAGTTTTATTGAGGTCTTTTTGTTATTCTAGCTTGTACTTTTAATGCCGCGGTCACAAAAAAAACACATTTAGGTGTTACGACTTACTTTTGGGTTATCGACAGGACAAAAATAACCTAACAAAATTATTTAGGAAGGATCAACGAGTTGCAATGACTGCAAAGAGTAAATATAAGCACTTCTAAACAATTTAAATCACAAATAGGCATATATTATGAATTTATTTTTTAATTCAGGGCTTTAAGTAAACCATGCATACTGTAAACTGTGAATTTATGCTGAGTCATCATAGTTAAGGCTCAGGATTTTCTCAATCTTCATGAAATATTTGTAAAACTTCATATTTGAGTTTAATTCTTTAAAATCTCTGAGATAAACCAGATTTTGTGAAATTCTGTTTATTCTATTTTTTAACCCTATATAGATTGCAATTCTGTAAATATAGACAATGCAATTTCCCATAGGAACTCCCTTTGCGGCTAAAACTGTGACACTTTTACTATGAAGTTTCGTGAAAAATAATATCCCAGAACGGAAAGTTTATATGCACTACTATTTTATTCAAAGGTCAAAATATAGGGCTGTGCGGCATATTTTCAACATTTATATACCCTGAACTTCTAAGAGTTTAAACTTACACTAAAATTCTATATTACCCTTACCTTCATATTTGGACCTCCTAAGAATTAAAATTTAGGCGCTACCATGTTTTTCTATACTGGTTACATTCCCAAGTGATGTCTCTATGAGATGAAACACAGAGATCATAGATGGGAACCAGTACATTAACAAATTAACATATCTATGAATATCATATATCTCCCCAAAAGAGGCGTGGTTTGCGAAACAGCTGTATTTACAAAGTGCAACCTATACACAGAATTGAAGAACGTTGTCAAGTTTCGTGTTTGTATAGTGTCCATGCCTTTTTATTTGTCAATTAAACTTTGAAGTTATATTTATAAAAATCTTTCCAGCTTTTAATTTTTAGTCCGAATCAGTTTCTACTACATTTTTTCTACGTGTGTTTTTCTTTTTTTAGCACGGTTACAAAGTTCTATCGACATTGTCACATTTCAGTTTACTGCATACAATATAGCTGTCTTTTAATTGCATCTAATGTATGGAAGCAATGAATTTGATAGAAATTCAATTTTAAATATTTGATCAAATAACGAATTTTGTTTTACAAGAAAATTAAAGCAAACGTGTTTTATAGAAGGACAGAGCATTGGAAATACATGTTGCATTTGAAGGATCATATGTCCTAGCTAGAATTTAAATTCAGTGAGTGTTTGGTGATTGTTTCACGCCGCAATAGCACAAACAGGCTTTATCACCGCAATGTCTCCAATGACTCAGCCGCACAATGAAACAAACAAGTCAACGATAAATAAAAGGTCATCATAAGTCTTCAACATTATATTTATCATCAAGACCAATTGATTACCAATGAGACAAAAATCCACCAAAGTTCTAATGAAGTAGATGAAAGCAATTACAGGCAGCGTACGGTATTCAACCATGAGATAAACTTACCCCTTACTGTCGGCTGTCAAAAGTTCCATAAACAAGTGAAACTATTTAATTGAAAAAAACTACCTAATTTATTAAAAAAAAATGTACGAAAACCAACGACAACTTCTGAACAACAATCTACTAACTTAGGACAGGCACATTTAATATGTGGCGTGGTTAAACTTGTTTGAAGACACAAATCAACCTCATTGCTTGGAAAAGTAGTCTATGTTTATACATCTTTAAAAATGAAGCAAATATACCGAAGTACAGATCTCAGAGTACTCTCCGTTACTGACAGTCAGTTTGATTCCAGTTCCCACCAATAAACTTATCCTTACTTCAAACGTTGCAGATATTAGTTCCATAGATTTTGCTGTAAATGTGCAATCCGTCTTATGAACAATTTTCTGAAATAGAAATTTATTTCTGCAAATATTTTGCTCAGATTCACCTATTTTCTGTAATTAATCGATACACGTTTTGTTAAATAACTATAACGACAGCATTTTTGTTGTCGTTGAATAAATGAATACTCGTGGTCACGATACTTTTAATTGAAAACAAATGTAGAAAGCACTGTCAACATTGTCTTTTACCAAACAAACATATACTGTGGATTCATTATCATTCGTTGGATACCAATGTTCATGGGTACAGGTGAACCACGAATTTAAATATTCGACGAAATACAAATTTCTATAAAGTTGTATCCAGACTTTTGAAGAACCACGAAATCACATACCCACGATAATGCAAGGTTTCCGCAATCCACGAAAATTGGTACCCACGAAAATAAATGAATCCACAGTAAGTTATCACGATTTATTTTGAATTCAAAGTATATAAAAAATTTTAAATTTGAAAAGTAACTGCATCGTGATTACAATAATACATATGCACAAACCCATTTGAAAAGAATATACTTCCCAAATCTGACTAATTTAATGAAATATAATTTAAGATTCTTTGCGCAAATAGTTACTTAAAAATATAAAATTCAGAAACTAGACAATGCATATTCTAAGGGTTTTCTTGTATTTAAACACGACATGGTGATTCGTGACCGCTCAAAGAAAAACATCACTATAATAATTTATTCATTCCGTCATGGGTTGTACAAAAACAATATTTTTAATAATAATAATGATTTAATTTATGAGAAGTAAATCAATAGTACAAATCAACACTTCTGATAATTGCAATTGGTCGATCAAAACATGCATGACAGTGGAGTGGAGTAACATTTTGTGGACCTAATCTCACGGCTATCAACAAATCAATAAAGACAATTAAAATATATTTTGATTTTTTTTTTAAATATAGGCAAATTAAGGTATGGAAAGACGAACGTTGGTTAGATAAATAAACTACATGGACTCAAAATCCAGTTATGTGAACTTGAAATACATCTTTCGCTGTTTTTGCTAATTTATACATGTTATAGATCGATATTCGATTTATATTTAATATCCTCTTACAAAGGAGTAGGCCCAGTAAGACCCCTTTTTGGCCCAAAAATATAGCAGTTTTACAAAATTGTTTAAATGTAAACTTTTAGCTTATTTATAAGAAAGTAGAATACTTCAGTTACATAAATATGGGCTGTTTTTGACAATACGATGCACATGTATCGGATACTAGCATCATTAAGTCATGATAAATTACTGAAATCTTCAAAATTTGAGCATTTTATTTAATTTTTAGACGGTTTCCGTCTGAAATGGAAGTGGCTGCATTTGTTCATTCTTAATATTTAAATGTAAATGAGAATGAACACGGATGCGGCCACTTTCATTTTGGACAAAAACCATCCGAAAAGTGGCATTTTATACTAATTGAATCAACTGAAGTAGACACTTAAGTGTTTTAAAAGTGTCCAAAATTTTTCATCATATGAATCTGAACTTTGCGCTCTTACCGGACCTACTTCTTTCAAGCTCTGAATATGCTTAAATTAGTAAATAAATCATGTATTCTTTTGGAGAATGCGGGATCACTTTGAATGTTTTTTATAAGTATCAAAGTCAGAGTAATATTTCGTCAATATGTAGATCACGCTCCGCTTTACAAGCCCAATAGAATAGTATCCTTCTAATTGTCAAAGTACATGTTTTTTTCACGAACTAGAAAATTCCATGCATGGATGACATAGTGTTGTAAATTAATTGATTAAGTGAAATTTAATTAACGACAACATAATGGATTTTAACATTTCTGACGTTATATGATAATACATTATCATGATAACATATTTAAAACATAATCGTAAATTGGGAAAAGGGGTAGGATAAATAATACGTAATTGTATTATTTTACCAGACCTTTGGAGTAAATGTTTTAATTGTTAGGACATATTTATTAATACAAAAGTAAGCATCTTAAATGATTGAATGATTAATTTTTTTACATTATTCAGAAAATTAACACTTTCGAAAAGCTGATTTATTATTGTTATTTATTTTTTAAATGAAGACATTTAACACATATTAGTATTAATTCTACTTGAAGCATAAAAAACTTCACTTTTAACAATGTTTTTGTCCTCCCAAAACTATTGCAGTACTATATCATTTCATCGGTTGAATATTGCCTTTACCATGATTACATAAAACTAACATCCTTTTTGTATCCAAGTTACCACTTGAAATTAAACTCATGTTCAAGTTAGTTTAAAACAACAATGGAAAAATATGAATCTTGATTGTCAATCGAAGATGTGAATATGTTTTAAATTATAAAGACAGCCTTTTGCATGTTTTATGGAAGTGATTAAGTATTGTCTACCATATAAGTAGAGCAGGAAACTAGCGACATACACTTCATTCATAAAAAGTATCAGCCTAGTTTGCTGTTAGTTCAAAATCTTAGTCAAAACACTCCGTTATTGCAATATGAAGGGGAGACCAATCCATATCATTTGATAGAGTAATCACTGTTAATGGGTATATTTTGATATTGACAAAACGTGAAAGTTTATTTTTGTTTAATGATTTATTGATAAATTAATAGATCAATGTTTATTTCTTTTTTAGCTTGCAGATCTGCTCAAATATTTGGTTATACTTACAATCCTTATATTTGCTGCGGGTGTCGCTTACCATGCCAATGTTTATCCAAACCATCAAGTAGAGTTTTGGCGAATATTTACAATCATTAAGATTCCATACTGGCAGGTTTATGGAGAACTGTATTTAGACACATTGGAAGGTTTTTATTCATTTATTTACTTACTTCATAAGTATGCCTTTTTTCAATTAAGAAGTTAAAAGTGAAATTGTTTCAGATAATTTAATAAAATACCTTCTGTATAGCGCCGTTCATTCCATGCATATATCAGCGCGTATATATTTTTTATTAGATGTGTTAAATATTTCTAGTGTGTGTATATTTTCCAAAGATATGCATAAAACACTTAAATTATTTTTACGGAATCAGTGCTATATTGAGAATTCTTGCAAAAACATTAAATCTTCCGAATAAAAAGTAAAGCATTACAACAAGTAGAAAGACATGACCCAAGTACATAAAATGTATATCTTTTCGAAGTTCGGCTTAACAAAATACAAAAACAAAGAAAAATCGAAGTGACAATGTAAGTGACAAAATGAAATGACTTTTTTTATCAATTTAGTGCGTCCGACTTTTGTTTTATAATTCATTGACCTTGATCAAATGATATAAATGATATTTAATCGCTCTGAATGTAGCAGTCACTATCATGACTATGACACACTTAGTCCCATTGTCAATATGTCTGCCAATAAGATGACTTAATGAGTATTTTTTTTTAAGGAATATATATTTTTAAACGGTTGAATATAAATAACGTTTTCCTTCTTTGTTCAACATAAAAATTACAAATTCAAAAAAGGCAAATTATATTAGCAACGAGCTTTTCTTGAATGAGAGCCGCGTTTGACAATTGGTTTAATATAAAGGAAACAAAACATTAGTTTTTGCCTCTTTTTGGTTTTTTATTTGTCAATATTACGCTTTAATTTGTCATTAAAATTTCATAAATATGTTTATCTCAAGCGTCTGATCCATCCAGTTGCACCGATAACGCTACAATATGGAAAGCTGACGCATCAGTTGACAGATGTCCAACAGAAGATTGGATAACGCCAGTTATTGCTGCTTTTTACATGATGTTGACAAACTGGTTGCTATTAAATATTGTTATTGCAATGTTTGGGTAAATGTTAACATCTTTAACTATATTCGATAACCAAGTATTGAACAATGATATAGATGGCTATTGATATTCAGTGCCCTTAGAATTACTTGTGTTATGTATCATACAGTTAAAGTGTGATTACTAAAAAAGTAAACTACACAATCCAGCAAAACGTTTAATTTAAAGATACACAACAATTTCATACACCAATACATCTTCTTTTTATACACTGGGAGTCATTGTATATCATTTGCAACCGTAGTGTTATCACGTATACAAACGTTATACTTTATATATGAAATGATTCTCTCAGCTTGTCCTGCCAAACTACCCAGGAATATTTATGTAACGTCAATCATCCGTTTGTCACACATGACAATGTATTTTACAGTAACAAAATGATAAACTTTTATTATCTTTCGGTTTTTTAATTTCATTGTATTAGTAATATGGTATGTTCATGCATGTAGACAGATTTAATTTATATGAACGGACTTAAAGATTATAAACTTTACTTGAGTAATACAACCGAATAGCCATAATGCATAAGGTAATACTAGTTTTTGTAATTTTTAGGAAAACATAAAAGTTATGAATGAGTTATCGCAATGGGTATAACTTTCATGTTTTTAACAATTAAAACACACTAGTAATGTAGACAACTATCCTTAGAAAAACATCTTCTTTACCCAGCTTCATATTTAGCAATTTAAGTTCCAGTCTTATTAGAACTTTCTGGTTTAAGCATTGGAAATGCATTGTGTTTACAAATTGGAATTTTCTATTGCAGTGCACGGTTTAATGCAATTCAACAAAAGTCCAAGCAGAAATGGCGTTTCAATCGACATTCAGTTATAATTGATTATGAAGACAAAATACCTTCACCGCTCAATTTTCCATGTAGAATTCTATCTTTGATCAAGTATTCTACACAATGTTCTTGTCGATGCTGTTCATGTCCATGCTGTTCATGTCGATGCTATCGATGTTCTTAAGAATTGGAAAATGGTAATACAATGTACTAATAGCATTTACATTCAAGCTTCTTGGACGAGTGAATCAGACAGCGTACTTACGAAATCAAACAAAAGTAATAAGACATATCGAGATCATGTGTAGGTCTCAGTGATCCAAATACATCTTAGCCGTTCATTTTGCTTTTATTTTGCATGCACATATACAATTAATTCATTATTGTCAACGTTTGAACATAACTGAAAAACAGAATGTATATTTATATAATTATGTAGATGGCATGTAAAATGTACAGTATCATCGTAATAATCATAGTTTCAACATTTACCCATATTACTAAAATAATGTTATGGATGTTACAATACCTCTATATATGGTTTATGAACAGGTTCAAATTCTTTAAAAAAAACACTCAATTACCACATATTAAAATCAGTATGATCATCATTTTCACTCATTATTTAGTTTACCAACCCATCATTTACATAATAACTACTCGTAGTAAGCGAATTAAATGATCACCAAAAGTAAACAAAAGAAAGAAATTAAAGCAAGATAAAAGCAATGAATTATCCTGATTATAAAAGCAACTTTATAACTATGTCTGTATTCTGTCTGTTATAGGTGATATTGCAACAATGTTGGCGAAACAACTTGAGTTTGCACAAATAATAATTGAAGAAGAAAATCATCGAGCATCACTTTGAGAAGTTCTGGTCTTTGACTTGTTTAGTTTTATTACTTGATATTAATGTATAGTAGTAAAATAAAGATCTAGACTGACAGTTTTCGTGTTTGAATTATGTTACATTGTTATGTCTGAGCCTTTCATAGCTCGCTATGCGGTTAAGTTTTGTTAATTGTTGAGAGCCATGCTTTAAGATATTGTTTCAAATTTTTCCCTTATTTTGTGAAAAGTTTTCTTAAAAGCATTTATATCACATCTTGCAATTGTTACATCATAGATTACGGCACGGTTTGTTGTTCTTGAAAACACCTCATAATGCCCTTCATTATAACCAGAAATTCGTTTTTACAAAATTTTCAATTAAAGATTGTTCAAAGAATTCTACCATGTAATTCATTTTTATTATAATGTAAATTAAAAGAAACTGAATTATGTACATTTTGTTCAGAAATTAGAGAAAATATTTTTCACATTTTTGGGAATGCTACATCTGGCTATCCATTATAGACTGGATTAAAAATTATGGCATTCTCTTGCCTTCAGTGCAAAAGAAGTCATTTTAGGTGTGTCTGAGGATTTTGTCAACAGTAAACAGTTAATAATATTTTGTTGTTATTTAAATATTATATATACAAATGTAGAAGTAAGAACATATCCCCCACAAAATAATATGGGATATGTTCTTACTTCTACATTTGTATATACAATATTTAATTGAAGGCAATATTTAAAATATTGGATTAATATAGAAAAATATTCTGTATGTTTCTTAACCCCTGTACAAAAATGGATCAGAAGTGGCATTCGTCAGAAGCAGCTTTTAATTAATTAACAAAATCAGTTGTAATAGTTAAATCTTATTATATCTTTATGACTTGATTGATCTTAGAAGTGTTGACTAATATTTTATAATTTGTGTCTAATACTGTAGTATGTAATTTCACATGTTTCGTCATGAAAAATACAAACAATACAAAAAAAAAAAAAAAACACCTCATGAAACCTGATTGTAAACGAAAAGAACGAACTAAACTGATCTTAAATCACAAATAGTTGAACACTTGTTAGTCTTAACAGCTTTAAAGAACTTCCCTGCATCATACGTTTAGGTAAAATGTGGCTCTTTAAGTATGAGTGTTAACTATCTCTGTTGTGCATACGTGTGGTATTAAAATCTTGTCAAAGATGGGACACATTATCAAAACCATAGCTTGTCCATGAATACTTCCTTCATGAACTCAGATTCACTTCAACCAGTTCCTAAAAAACTTAAAGCAGCATTACGATTGACAGAATAAAGCTTCTTTTCTTTTTAAAAAATCCTTGGTAGTACCATACCAGAACTACCGTTTGATTTTGAAAATTTATGATTTGTTCACCTACAGTTATGGACGGTTGACGGTCAAATCGATAAAAGGTGATTTCTACATGGCATGCACTAAATCTAGTATGCTTGGATCAATTTAGTACACACCTAACACTATTGTTGGTATTAGTGAAACTTGACTCGCTTTTAATATTAATTTTTTAAATTGTTTCAATTGTAAGCTAATACAGGAAATATGTAGTAGGGTTTCAACTTTGTACCAACTGGTTAACTACAAGTTCTCATAATATGCCGTTAACTATTACATGGATTAATCGATTAAAATATTAAATACAGGTTGAATGCAAGCAACTTTAGGGAAAGATGATTTTTGTTGTTTTGTTCACGTTTTCTTATTCATTTCTATAATACACTATGTCTAGCTATCATTTTTTTTTCGATTTCGGGTGTGTTGGTATTAGGCCGGTAAATCAGAATAATTTATCAAATATTCCATGTTACGCTGACAATGTACCGCTGGTATAGTCTCTGTGTCTCAGGTGTAAATCTGATTGGTTATTATTTGGTTATAACGTTTTTTAAGCAATACATTACTTTATAAATTTCCAGTGCCTAAATAACCAAAGTACGCAGAATTGCATGTTTCTACGTTCAGGCAAGGTACAGTTAGACGATTTTGGCAAAACGTATGATGCCCTTTTTTGTTTGTTTGCTCTATACTTTTCCAGTTATTTGATTTCTTATTTGTACTCAATTTAATCATTTTCTGCAGGCAATATCAACCCTATGCGGTGTTAGCTGTTAATTTTAATATTTTTGGCTAATTTTTTTTCATTATATTACCTACCGAACTTTTGATAATTACTCTCATACCCAGTCGTCTTCCTGATGACGGTTATGCTAAATGTGTATTACTATAAATAACTAATACAGGTTAATGTAGATGCAATGTTTAATTATTTTAACTACAAAAATATCTTAAATATAAGTTACAAAATGTTGTTGAAATTAATTTTATATTTGTTTTGTTCAGAAAGTAAACAACATTGTGATTAATGATATTGCTCGATTTGATATATGTAGGGTCAATTACTTATGCTGAAATGCTGTGGATTCGCCTATTTTAGAGTGTATCTATTTACGTGGATTGAAGAAAAATTACTTTTTCGTTGATACGTGATTATTGGTTTTGCCAAAGTTTGCATTCAATCCTTAACAAAATGTGTACTTGGTGAATATTTAAATGTGGTGTTCATCTATATCCATGAAATAAACAAAAAGTGGTATCTAACGAATAAAAATGAATCCACAGTATTTTATTTTAAACAGAAGTTGTGACCCTTTTATATGTATTTGTGTGCTGTGGGTTGCATGTTTATTATAAACTATAAAAACATGAGCAAGCTTTTACTTTGTGATTTTTTTTTAATAAAGATATTAAGTGTCTTTTTCGTTTATTTAAATGATTTCTCAAGTTGTCAAGCACGAGACATCATCAATGACCGAAAGTTGTTCAATTAATGAATTACATTTGAATGTTTTGGTTTTTTTTTTAATTCATAGTTATAGTTAGAGTTTTGTATTTTTTAGTCGATTCAATGAAACAATATGCAGTACTCCTTTTGTCCTTGAAGAACAATTTCAATCCTCATTGTTTCCAGAACACAAACAAAATTAAAATATAAAGATGATGTTAATTAATGATTAATCAGTTGATAAAGAACAAACAATTGTTCAATGTCCTTTTGGTATCTTTCGCCTCTCATTTATCTTATTCTTATAACCGTTATGTAAATGTTTAATGCACGCATATTTTGCGATTTGAGCTCTACTTTGGATTGTCCTGAAAAAAATATAAGTTGACTTCTCTCCATTTCATTAACATACGAATAAATGACGGATCATGTCTTAATAAGGATAATTCTATAGGGATAAACTTTACATCGATACAATTTCATCAAATATGTACATACTTTCAAAAAGTTTTAGGATACTTCGAACAAACATCGTGATATCAACGTCAACCATTGGTATACTTTTTATAACATGTAGAAGTATCTTGATGCTTTGGAAATCATTCATATACTTTTAAAAAGTATCAGTTTATTCATAAAAAGCATTGGTTTACTTTGAAATAGTAAAAGTATACTTATAAACTGCATCGGTATACTTATAATAAGTATCAGTATGCTGACAAAAAGCATATGTATGATTTTAACTGGTATCAGTATACACTACAAAAGTCCAAAAGTCTGAAAAAACCAATATTTGTCAGAATTTGAGTGGATTTTAATTTACATTCTCTTTTTGTCTGAAATGTTTGTAAAAATTATTGACAAAGTCTCGTTTATCTGTAGACATACTTTATTTTACTTGACATATGTCTTGACAGTATAAACATTGTCTAAAAATTTCTCGACGCTTTCTCGACAGTCTGAAAAGTGTCTTGATTAGTCTCGACCAATTCTCGACTGTCTTAAATTTGTCTCGATAAGTCTATACATATTCTTGACATTCTTTATGATGTCTGAATATGTCTCGACACATTCTTGACAGTCTTAAATATGTCTTAATATGTCTCGACACTAACTCGACAGTATGAATTTCGTCTAAATTGTGCATCAACACATTCCTGAAAGTTTAAACACTTTCTTTTGCTGTTTTATACTCATTTCTATTACCGATGAAATAAACTTGGAGGAATCAGGATACAATAATACAGCGCGTATTATAAAAAAAAAACATTTTGGTACAATAATTGTTTATTTACTATGTTAACATTGAATATTATGAATGAAAAATGAAATATTTCTACAGTATGATTTATTTCAAATATTAAGCAAGTATTTATAATATTCATAAAATCAACTTTTTGAATTTTTTTACAAACCTACATTTAAATTGGATTATATTATAATACTCACATTTGTATTGGTTAATATTTTCATACTCACATTTGTATTGGTTTATATTTTCATACTCATATTTGTATTTATAAAAATATTTATATAGATATAAGAAGATGTGGTATGAGTGCCAATGAGACAACTCTCCATCCAAGTCAAAATTTATAAAAGTAAACCATTATAGGTCACAGTACGGTCTTCAACACGGAGCCTTGGCTCACACCGAACAGTAAGCTATAAAGGGCCCCAAAAAATTACTAGTGTAAAACCATTCAAACGGGAAAACCAACGGTCTAATCTATATAAAAAACGAGAAACGAGAAACACTTATGAACCACATCAACAAACGACAACTACTGAACATCAGATTCCTGACTTAGGACAGGTGAAAACAAATGCAGCGGGTTTAAACGTTTTAATGGTACAAAACCTTCACCCTTTTTCTGAAACAATAATGTAACATCACAACACAGAAAGACACACATTTTTAATTATAAAAAATATTTAAATTCCCAATTTTGGTTTTTGTTGTAATAAGTGTAACTTGAAATAACAGTATATTCTATAAAAAGAATTAAACCAAAATATCAATCATGTATATTGGTCATGATTTGTAAAGCTTAAAATTTGTCAAGTAAATTCAAGACACAATTCACAATGTTTAGAATATGTCAAGCTATACTCAGAAAAAAAAAGATTGTCGAGAACCTGTCGAAAAATTTCAAGACAGTATTCAAATGTCGAGAATTTGTTGAGTAAATTCCATACACATCTGTTATAAGTCAGAATTTGTCAAGAAAAATCATGACAGAAGTCATACTTTTTTGAGAATGTCGAGTAATAGTTCATGCAAATCAAGACAAAAATTGGTCTTTTCAGACTTTTGGACTTTCGTAGTGATACTTGATAAATGCATATGTATACTTTTACTTATTATGAGTTTACTAATACAAACTTCATAATGCATTTATAAGTGAGGAAATTGTTCAATGCGATAAAAATGTTATAAAAACCGGTAACTTTCAATACCTCCCACCCCCTGAGGGTCTTTTTTAACCAACTTATCTTCATTGTTTTCACCAAAAAATGTTGAATACAAAACAGTTATATGTATTCTTAATCACTCTTTTACTAATTGTGTTGCAATAAAATTGAGAATGGAAATGGGGAATATGGCAAAGAGACAACAAACCGACCAAAGAGCAGACAACAGCCGAAGGCCACCAATGGGTCTTCAACGCAGCGAGAAAATCCCGCACCCGGAGGTGGTCCTCAGCTATATAAAATTGTGTACTAGTTCAGTGAAAATGGACGTCACACTTAACTCCAAAACATATAAATGAACTAAAATTAAAAAACATACAAGACGAACAAAGGCCAGAGGCTCCTGACTTGGGACAGCCGCAAAAATGCGGCGGGGTTAAACATGTTTTGTGAGATCTCATCCCTCCTATACCTCTAGCCAACGTAGAATAAAGAAACACATAGCAATACGCACAGTAAAACTCAGTTTAAAAGAAGTCCGAGTCCGATGTCAGAATAGGTAACAAAAGAAACTAAGCAAAATGACAATGATACATAAATTAGCAAAGGACTACTAGCAGTTACTAACATACCAGCTGCAGACCTCAATTCAACTGATTGAAAGATTATGTCTTCATCATATGAAAATCAAGTACAATCCCTCCCGTTAGGGGTTTATTATCATACAATCAGAAAATATATGAGAAGAACATAACCCGTATTATGCCAACAACTGGTTTTAGAATAATAGTGTTTATTTCCGATGCAAAGACCCTATAAGTGATTCAATAATAATACCAAAATATGCAATCCTTAATGACCTGACAACAGTATCGTTACTATATCATTTCCGAATAAGTCTGTTTAAAGGTTTGGTTAGCTTTTGAGGTGAATGCCGACATTTTTGTGCTTTGTAAAGAATATTACCATAAAATATTGGATGTGAAATACTTTAACGTATAAAATGTCTTCATGTTGATTTATAATTACGAATGATGTACTTGTATTGATGATAAAATTTAGTAAATGTTTTGACTAGTTTGTGATATCGAAAACCCCAGTGTAATATTTTTTTTAGTAATACAGAGATTTCTTTCGTTGAAATCAAATACGTTGTTACAAACACGAGCGAATCGAACAAGTTGAGATATATAAACACCATAAGATGGTGACAAGGGAACGTCATCATCTAAAAATGGATAATTAATAATAGGGAATGAAAATCATCTCTTTTATTATAAATTTTTGTATTAAGCGTCCCGTTAAAGATGTAGATATCAAGATCCAGGAAAGGGCAGTGTTCATTGTTAGTATTAGCTTTATTCAAATTCAGTTCGGCAGGATAAATCTCTTTAATGTAGATACTGAAGTCGTCATTATTGAGAGCCAATATATCATCTGAATATCTAAAAGTGTTATTAAAGTTTTGAATCAGATGTTGTTTCGATGGGTCTTTGCTGATTTTAGTCATAAACTGTAACTCATAACAATACAGAAACAGGCCCGCAATAAGTGCTGCACAGTTAGTGCCCATGGGAATTCCGATAACCAGACGTGAAATTGGTGAACGGAATCTCTATAGCGATAAAAATGTTATCTAGTAAAAATTCAAGGGCACTTATAGAATCAAAGCAGGTCTAATTGACATAGTTCTAAAAAAGTATGATCATATATATTCGCATTCCGACATTTTAAATGCCTATTTAATCAGGTGTGTGCATTTTTTCTAACTGTGACTTGACTATGGGTGTTGCTGTTGCCTTTACCTATTGTTCAACCTGTAAAATTGACAATACAATTGGGACATCTAAATTGACCAGTTAGTATTGTTAGATGTAAATCTACCTTGATTCTACCTGTACAGTTTTTTATTCACCTAGCCCAAACTTTCAGCATGCATTTTTCCTGAAGTTTTCTTCACCTAGGATTATTCTATTAAAAAATTGATAGGGAAGAAAATATTTTTGGTTTTCATTGTTTTCAATCTCCAATATAATTATGATTTATCTAAATTTTACAAAAACGTCTAAATCAGTCCATTCCTACGGTTAGACATTTGTTCAATACTTATTGACATGAGCCTTGTACAAAGGGTTCATGCATAGTGAAATATTGAAAATAATAGTCATGAATAAACTGGATAATTTATTTATTTATTGACACTGATATTCGATGTCCCATCCAGTATTCCAGTTTTCAATATTTGAAGTCATTTTAAACTATATTCCTAATTCTATTAACTTTTTGGAATATTTTCTTACAATTTTCACTATATCACTAGATTTGATTACTATATCCATTGTTTTCTGTTTAATTTCCAATGATATATATCCCAATCGAACAGGTGCAGAGTCTTTATATTAGATCCAGAATTTTGTAATTTTTGAAAATTTCCGATATCACATTCAAAATAATTATCCTCACTTTACAAATTTTTTGGAATATTTTATTTCTATTTTCACTATATCACTTGATTTAACTAAATCCACAGTATTCACGTTTTATTTCATTTCCCAT